GCCAATATTTTTTAAAAGCACTTTTCCTATAATTTGTGGGCTATAGATTAAAACTAACTCACTTTTCTCTGTTTTGTCGTAAAATCAGTAAGACATATACATACATACACCAAAGGTAGTATGAGTATAGTGCAGGCCCAGAAATTAAACAATAAATAATAAAATCTTAACCAATCTGTCTCGAACTTGCTCCAGGGGCTTCAACTGCGATTTAATAGTATTAACTACGCTACGCTTCGCTCCCGCCTTAGCCTTCTCAAGTTCTCAACCTACGTTATCCAAGTCGAACTATTACGAAAATTAAAAATCAAACATAAATAATACACTTAGATTTAAATAAAATAGTCTACTTACGTTTATAAATTGAATGACTACACTTAAAACACTTAATACTATAGTAATAATTTGAAAACATTTTTTTTTTTCATTTTTATAAAGTGCGCTCAAAAAATGTTTAGTATTTAAGAAAAAATATTGGGCTGCAGTTTAGTGACGCGGCCCCTGGAGGAGTGGGTGGTATTTTTGGTTAAGCATTAGTTCTCTTGCCCTTGAATGAGATAGCGTAACATTTATTTTTCAACCGACTTCCTCAAAAAGGAGGAGGTTCTCAATTCGGCTGTATGTTTTTTTTTATTAGTTACCTCAGAACTCTGTCATTTATTAACTGATTTAGACAAATTTTGTTTTTGAAAGTGTATACTTCCAGATTGGTCCCATTTAAATTTCGAAATAAATACCACCCCAAGGGTGGAAAAATAGCTAATGATGAATTTAACCTACTTCTAATTGTCATATTGACTTGAAGCTTTGCAAGTGTGTCTATTTCCGTTGACAGTGCAGTGTTTCTGTATCGTTGACCTGATCTGATGGTAAGGCCAGAAGGTGGATAGGAAGAACTCTTCAACGGCTAATAGTAGATACTTTGAGTTTGGGCTTATTTTGTTTGATTTGACAAGCCTAATACGTTAAAATCGGATTTTAGAGCCAGAATTTTTTGTGTTACTAATAAGAGCGAATTTTAATTTGTAAGTCGTCGTATAAAAATTGGCATCAAAATAACTTAAACGGTTTAAGCGAATATTTTATTAAAATACTTTCTTCTTACTTTGCTACTACTATGTCTACACTAAAAAGGGAAAAATAAAATCGGTTAGCTATTTATATTTATAAACATTTACAAACTTACACACAGAAATTAATATTTTGTTAATATTTGAATACCGTTTTAAAACATTATATATTAGATACATTTATGTATATTAAATCACTAGTAACTTACGCATAACCTCGCTTCGCTCGGGTGCGTCCCAAGGTGTAAATAGTTATGATTAGTTATTACAAGTTTAGAAGAAAGACCTAAGCTATGTAATGACATGTACTTAAATTTCTAAAAAACGCCTCGGTAGAACCAGTTATTGTGTTTTCCCGTGGACATGAAAGATTTCCCTGTGGTAACAAATATCCTAAATTTGTTATTTGACACAAGTACATAATAATTAATAAGTTATCTACTACACAAAATTTAGTCGAAATCGGCCCAGTACTTTTTGCGTGAAATGCGAACACGCCAACAGACAAACAGACAAAAATTTAATAACTATTGTTTTGGGGTCGATATTTTGTACACAATAGATTACATCCATACCATTAGTCATTATTTAAAAAAAATATTTCATGTACACATTTCACTTTTTCTGTTTTATTATATGTACTTATTGATTATTATTCTGCATCATGTTTAGTTAAGAAATACACAAACAGGCTCGTTTTGCTCGTTAATTTGCCTGTGACTTTTCACAGGCAAACCTCAGTAGCTACTATAATTGTAATTTTATAGTATTATATTGTGACATAGAAATATATATTACCTACTTGTAATTTTATAGCCAGTGACTGAAATAAAAATAGTTGACACGAACGCAGGGAAATAGCGCATAATTTATTTGGTATTAAATTATTATTCACGCAAACGATACTCGCGTCACAACATTGTAATTACTAAGAACATGTTATGACTTCGCCTCACGAACAGCTCGAATAAAATGTATATTATTATACGTATATTAAAGATGTAATTTATAATTTTATTTAAACTCAATTTCACAATTCATACTAATATATAAATGCGAAAGTTACAGGCAGACAGAGTTACTACTCTGTCTGCCTGTTACCTTTTCACGCTTAATGCGCTGAACTGATTTAAATGAACTGATCTAAATCGGTTCAGCGCATTAAGCGTGAAAATACTAAAACTTATAAAAACTATTTCCATACCACATTTCGTCTACGAAATTTGGTATGGAAATAGTTTGAGATCCTAGGAAGGACACAAGATAGTTTTTACCCCGAAAATCATCCCTTAAGAGGGTGAAAAGGGGAATGGGAAAACTTTGTATGGGGAAACAATGATTTCTCAAGTAAGGGATATAAAACTCATCATACCTTGTATATATGTTTATATATAGATAGACTATATAGTCTATGTATTCCATACTAACCGCAATACCTAGGGACCTAGGGATCTAGGGGTACCTAGGGACGAACCCGGGCGAAGCGAGCGTGAGTCGCTAGCAATATTATAATTCAAGCAATTTTTTGAAAGGCACTCCTACCGCAAGGCAGTGGTAGCTCAATAGAAGACAGCCCAGTAGTAACGCTTTCGCTTGGGAAACAGAGTGAAACGGATTCGAATCCCAGGTCTCGCACCTCCGATATTTTCATTTGCTAATTATTTCCAACACTTACCACTTTATTATGAGTACCACTTGGTACTTGCCTTATGGTGAAGGAAAACATCATGAGGAAACCTGCAATCATACCACCAACGAAGTGCGCCAAACCGAACGGCACCTGTGCAGCGTGGTTAACTATGGCCTGATCCTGCTCACCTTAAAGAGTGAGCAGTGGGCCATAAAAGGCAGATTTTTTTAACACCTGCAGGTAAATTTCTAAGAAATGAACTAAATTTCTAAGAAATCTATTGTTAACTGTAACGCCGGCGTGTCCGCGGTCGCTAAGGGATTAATCGTCAATAAAAAAAGTTAAAAGCTTCATAGATATTTTAACAATACCGTTACCACAAAAATATAATTCAAATCTTTATTAATTAAATTATTGACTATTTTATTGTCATTCCAAATTTGCTATCACTCACTCTTTAGTGCAGGCTAATTATTACAATAAGTCACAATATGCTGAGATATAACATTGTAACGCATTTATTGATAGTTAATCATCAATATTATTTATCTATACTAATATTATAAAGAGGTAAAGTTTGTGAATTCGTGACGTTGTAGGGGGTAATCTCTGGATCTACGGAATCGATTTAGATGAAATTTGGTAAGAAGATAGTTCAAGACCCTGGGAAGGACATAGGATACTTTTTATCCCGGAAATCATCCCTTAAGGGGGTGAAAATGTGAGTCGCTAGTATTGAAATAGGCATATAAATGATAAGCCGAGTATGGGAGATAAAAAATTTATTTACTTGTACTCGTACTGAATAAACCGTCATTAGTCTATTATTATCGTTAATGGAAATCATATCTGCTCTAGATAATACACAACTAAATATTACTATACAGAATAAGTAAAATATATAAATAAATTAAACTTAATTTGCTATTTTACAGAGCATTTAAAAAAAAGATATCTATTCAAATTTTGAAATGTCAAATGCCGATAAAAGCATTAATGAGGTGGTATGGAAATTGAGATTGAATGTTATAACTTCATAGTAATACATCTACATTCAGATATCAATCAAGAATTTAAAACAAAATTTGAAAACAAAAGGAATACATAAACATGTCATATTCATACAAAATCAATCACACATATCCATTTAATAAAAACTTTCTACACAATTAACTTAATATAATTAACTTAATTATTGCAAGGGATTATAATTCTTGTAAATTTAACAAGCATTCAATTATGTAATTACAAAAATGACATTCCATACATTACAATGTGTAAAATAATTATTTTTGAAATTAAAAATAAATGAAAAATCCTACAAGAATAATGAAACCTTAACTTAAACTTGTTTATAATTGACATTACTGTCATTAAAAAAATACATTTAAATGTCATTATAATTTTATTTTTTTATTTTATAATATAATAATGTTCATGATCCGAATACATATTACTAAAATGAATATGGGTGATTTTTTCAATAACTGGAATATATTTACTTTGCAATATGTATAGCTAATTAAAATTACCCTTTCACTTGTCTGGTTGTGTTAGAAATACTTTCTATATACCCTATAAACAATTCAAAGAATAAAACAATACTCGCATTAGAAATATCCACTCTGAAGTACGCTGCAAATGTCTGCGCAACAAGTCATCGTTGCATGCATGATTGCCGCCCACTTCACTAATGTACGGCAAAGTTACAATAATACAAGTTTTTTTTATTCTATTTAAAGATATTATAAAGTATAAATCACGTGATAGTTCGTCAATCACTGTCAAATAATATCTAGATAGAAATAATGTACTGATAAGGCAATGACGTCATTTCCTTATTTTCATATATTCTGATTGTCTGTATCATATCAACATGTCCATACAAATGCAAAGGAATCGAAAGACAATTCCAAAGAACGTAAATTATTATTTTATTGGTCAAATATGTATGTTGTGAATTTCTCTAATTTTGAATACTTTTAGCAATAACTATTATGATGTAAAATATGATAACAAATACTGAAAACATTGTATCGTGAATATCATTTAATATAAACCATTAAAATGGAAAACTTAATGTGTTTATAAAAAACAATAAACTCTATCTGTCAAGAGTGTAAATTATAAAAAAAAAGAATTTCCATTAATGGTGTCACAATAGTTATACACAAAACAAATGTAAGAGTTATTATTAATGTCATTAAAAATAACTGCTTAGTGATAAATTTTACACACTAGAATTAATAAGTAGTGTTAAATAAGAACTTAAAGACAAAGAATGTAGATGTATTACTTTACATAGATGTTGGTGACCAGAAATTCATTTCCCTTAATTCTGAAGGCTTCGGGCGGAAAGTGTGGGCTGGTTTAGAAAGTTTTGGTTCTTGACTTGAACTTCCGTGCGATATGTCTTTTGATTCCATTTTAGGAGCCGGCCCCAGATTTTCAACTGACTCTGCTAAGGAGCCAACTGAAACAAAAAATATATTTTAAGTCTAATGTGTACTTGTCTGTTTTTAATGTCAAAATAACAGCTTTTTACTAAATGCATATAAAATTATATACGGTATTTATAAGAAAAACACAATTTAATAATAAAAACTTTTTAACAAAAAAATAAAAACCGACTTCAAACAAAACCACTAAAAAGTAAAAAATAATTGATTGGTAGTTTTCATTTACTATACATACCTAATCAAATATTTTCGAAGTCGGTGTGCTTTGCTTTGTATGGGCTGGCACCGATTTCGAAAATATTTGATTAGGTATGTATTTAATAGGTAGGCTTTAATTACTTAGCCAAAGCACACCGACTTCGAAAATATTTGATTAGGTATGTATAGTAAATGAAAACCACCAATCAATTATTTTTTACTTTTTAGTGCTTTTGTTTGAAGTCGGTTTTTATTTTTTTGTTAAAAAGTTTTTATTTTTCCCTTTTTAGTGTAGACAGTAGTAGCAAAGTAAGAATTCTAACGTGTTAGGCTTGTCAAATCAACCAAAATAAGCCCAAACTCAAAGTATCTACTATTAGCCGTTGAAGAGTTCCACCTATCCACATTCTGGCCTTACCATCAGATCAGGTCAACAATATCGAACCACTGTACTATCAACGGAAATAGAAACACTTGCAAAGTTTCAAGTCAATATGACAATTAGAAGTAGGTTAAATGCATTATTAGCTATTTTTCCACCCTTAGGGGTGAAATTTTTTTTTAATTTTAAATGGGACCAATCTGGAAGTATTCACTTTCAAACAACACAAAAATTGTCCAAATCGGTTAATAAATGACGGAGTTCTGAGGTAACAAACATAAAAAAAAAACAGTCGAATTGAGGACCTCCTCCTTTTTGAAGTCGGTTGAAAAAGACTGTCTGTTTTTTCCGGCTAATCTCCGAAACGGCACTGGCAGGTAGTTGATGTTATAAGGAGTAACTTAGGCTACTTTTATTTCAGTAAAAGAATTAGGGTTCCGCTCAAAAAAATCAAAATTACCTAGGCACGAACCCGAGCGAAGCGAGGGTGTGTCGCTAGTTTATAATATGTAGTGTATGTGTATAAATATTAGATCCCGGATTTAAGGAATATAATAAAGGAATGTGTAATCAGACAAGCCAAATTGGGCTTAAGGCCACAAAGATCACAAAATGTTTACCATTATTTAAAAACAAAAATGTTATCCTGCCATTATGATAAAATAATAGAGCGAAAATTACGTTAACATTATAAATTAGTGCAATACTATCACAAAAACTTCATATTAAAAAAAAACAATAAATTATTTATGAAAAATTAATTTACCAGTTCCTTTGACTAATTCCAATATACAGACAAATAAAATTGAAGATGTCTGTTTGTAACGTCAAAATAAAAACTTTTTAGTAAATGCATAATATGAAATTATATACGGTACTTATAAGCAAAACTCAATTTTTGTAATTTTTGTCTGTCTCTCTGTTTGTTCCGGCTAATCTCTTTAACGGCTGGACTGAATTTGACGGGACTTTCACTGGCAGATAGCTGATGTTATAAAGAGTAGCTTAGACTACTCTTTATTTTAGAAAAAGAATAAGGTTCCGCTCAAAAAAAAAACGCAAAACCTAGAACACCTGAGCAAAGCGAGAGAAAGTCGCTAATGTACTTCGATCAACAATACTAATAGATAACGTGTCACATACAAAATCAAAGCTAAATTCTGTCCACGCGAATATGCACATATACAGCTTCATTTGTATACTACCGAACCAAAACAAAGTCTTATAATAGTTTTATTTTCAACCTAATCAACACCATAGCACCTTGTTATAAAGTCACAAATTATCGAATTCTCATCAGTTCGTAAGTTTTATTTATAATCTTTATTGTAAAATATCAAAAACCATAAAGCACTTTTTCGCGTTCTTGCTATGTGTGCTAAATCGTTATGTTTTGTTTCTGTTTGCTTCTTTGTATTAGCGCGTATATTGGCCGACCTGGGCCAACGTTCTTAGCGGATTTAAAATTAGGTTAAATATTAAAATATTGATTTAATCTACATATATTTATCGAAAATGAGACACCGTCTGAAAAATTACTTCTTCGCGCATTATTTTTGCAACTTTTAAATATATATTGCTGCATTGTGAACATGTTTACATTGGCAGCGTTTAAATAGAACTAATCGAAATATACGCTCACTTTGCAAGTGAGCTGATATTTACCAAGACGGATTTCTTACGTCGACCCGATATCTAGTAGTATTGATGATCGAAGCTTAAGTATATAATAAATATATTAAAATATAATTATTTAATATCTTCAAACAATACTGTAATGAATATTTATTTAATATACAGTTACCTTGTAATCTATTTTCAAATATTTCTTCCTCTGCCAAAGTAGAAGTAGAAGTAGTGAGGTCCTTTTTGAAGCCAAGAAGTGCGATTGAGAGCCATGATCTGTTGTTTGTATCTTCAACAGGCTCGAACGGAGATGTGAAGAAACTATAAAAGATAATTATGTTATTTTATTAAGTTTTCTTTGGATGTGAAACATCTATTCATCCACTAAGCATCACTAAGGAAGAATTATTCAAAATTCAGCCCCTAAGGGGGTGAAATAGGGGATAAAACTTTGCATGAAACTTTTTATTCCTTAAACATATTTGCATGAAATTTCACATGAATTGAGTACAGCTAAAATAATGATGTTCTCCTGACCGACTCCGGCCACAGCGGCCAATCTCGTTGAGACTAGCCAACTGCGCAGGAGATATTATAGTGCACAAGTGTACGCGCAGACACAAGTGCACTCTCTATTCCTGTCACTCTCATACTCTGGTGGGACGACCACTCGACACGACCAGTGAGAGTTAAGGCGCAAGACCCACGGCTTTACGTGCTCTCCGAGGCACGGGGGTGAAACACCGCCAATTTCCCAACTCCGGGCTGTTACTGAGTCTTACTATACAGAAAGACTCAATAACTAAACTTGGCCCGACCCGGGACTCGAACCCAGGACCTCCGAGTGTGCAGCCGTACATGCTAGCCACTACACCACCGAGGCAGTTAGATAAAATAATAAGTTACGTATTTCATCGTTTTCCTAAATTCAACCTCTAGGAGGGTAAAATAGGGGATGAAAGTTTGTATGAAACCTGCCTTTTGAGAGATTTTTTGTATTTTTAGCGCGAGCGAAACCGCTGGCTCTGCTAATATGATTATGTATGTTTACATAATTACCGATTAACATTCATCTTCTTCTTGCTATTGGGGCTGGATGGGGGCGAGTGCGCGGGCGTGGCCGGGAGACTCTTGCTGCCGCGACGCGCGAATGCTCTGGACATAGGCTCCGGCGCGCCTTCGTCAAGCGGAGTCGCTACTGTGAAGCCTCTCGGCGAACGTGTTTGTATCATCTGGTGTGCGACCTTTAAATTTTTATATATAATAATGCTGTTATTTTAATTATTTTTAAATTAAAAGCAGGGCTGCCATATCGTATAATTAGATACGAAAATTGTAAATATGTATAGTTATTTTTTTATGTATATTTCATTTTAAGTTATTACGTATTTTTATTGAAATTTTTTATTCATCACAGAGAGACAGATATTTCTTAACAGTTTTGTTAATTTGTATAATAAAATTAAATTTGGTATATTTTGAGTGACCCAGCGGTATAAAATAAGCTGGCTCTATTGGCAGCAGTTGTCTCTACTGGTTAAAAGGGTATATCTTTGTGGTGAAAGTTTTCCTTGAAATTTTATCTTAAGTCGTGTATTAACTATTTATTTTAAATTGATTCACCGGCACGAAACAATAAAATAAATACACCCAAATTGAGCATTTGTCTTTTTTTAAATCAGTCAATAACTATAATATTTTGTTCAAGAAAAGAAAGAACTGGATATACATGGAGATACGAAAGTGTAGAGAGAGACACTGTCTTAGAATAAATGTCATATCTTTAGACTTAGCGTTTTTTTGGCTTTGCCTTAAAAAATACATGTGAGTGAAAAATGGTAACTAAGAAATAAGTATCAAATATCAAGTTCTGAATTCAACATTTGAAAACGTCTGAACTGAAAGTCGTGAAACTTTTCAGTGTTTATATTTTTATTAATAAAACTACAAAACACACATCTCTGTTATTAAAAACTTGGTAATCAACAAATTTCATTTTAAATGAAAGCATCTTTTCGGATTTTTTCGATGATTTATTTTGTTTTTGGTTCCCAACGTTTCGAATGCTTTACAGCAATCATGGCCATAAATCAAAATAAATCCACGAAAAAATCCGACAATGATAGTTTCGTTTAAGATGTCAAATATTCGCGTAAACCTAAGAAAGTATCAACGAATTTCATTTTTTTTCTTCAAACATGCGTGTTATTTCACAGAAAACATAGCACAATTTTAATTTTTTTAAGCGATAAACTGAACACAAACGATTTACATTCTAACGTTAGGTGCATTATAATATACATAAATGTTAACAGTTATTTAGGTGAACGTATGGCTGAGTCACTGCGCAGTGCGCTTGCGCATAAAATGAAATAGAGCAATGCAGTCGGAACTACCTTGAGTTACTTGCTTACTACGTGGGTAATAATAATTAATATGGAATGCTATCAGTTCTTTTCCCGTACTAAGTTAATATAAATGAAACATATTATGACGAAACAAAATGGACGACTACGTTATATGGTATCAAGCTATTGCAAACGTTAGAAATGCCTTTTATGATAGTTTACTTATTAACCTTATCTTCCGTATTGCGGACAGGATTGAAATTTTCGAATATCTAAAATTAATAACACAATTATTACATAAAATGATATATAAATAATAATAAAAACATAAATATATAATTATAAATAGATATGTATTGTTTACTAACCTTGACAACAGAGCTACCACACGCCGCGCCTTCGCCTTTGAATCCATCATCCGTACCAGCTGGCTTGGTCTTGACGTTTGAAGATTTATCTGAAGAAATAACATTTACAATAAGACACACAAAAACACAAGATTAAATAACACAAGATTATATTCATACAAAAACTAAATTAAACAAACAAATAATTGACCTATGTACCACAATATCATTTTATTACAAAATTGAATAAAAATTGCCTATTTAATTACTTAACATGATCTTTTACCTAATGGAAGTATTGTGTTATGATAAGTTTTCTTAGAATAAACAATTTACCTATACACCCGTTTATTGTACAAAAAATTTGTGTATAAATAAAATAGCAAAAGACAAGCAAACTACAATGACCCGAATAGGTACGTAGATAAGGTAAGTTGAATTTTTATAATTACGTATGTTACACTACTATAGACAATTTTATTTTGTTAGTTTGTGTATTTATATATGTAGAACTAGCATTACCCGCGGCTCCGCCCGCGTTCAGATGACCAAAAATCAAATTCTTAGGTTTTACATATTTGTATACCCTTACATTGCAGTTTTTGTATTGTTTCTCAGAAATGAGACATTTTCCCGCGGTAAAACGTATCCTATATGTTGACCCGAATAACCTTTAGTTTTTCTGTGATGCGGTACCAGACAAACATACAGACTGACAGAAAGACTGACAAAAATTCAAAAAACTATATATTCGGCCTCTGTATCGAAAATAATGTTTATTTCAATAAGATTTTCCAAAAAATATTTAACGCACAGATTCGGCTTAGTTACAATTTTAATATATGTATAAATAATCTCGTGTAACTAGTACATCGATATTTAGTATTTACATTATTTTACTAATACACATCTACACTATTCCTGTAATATATATAGGCTATATTTTACAGTATATTTTTTAATATTGTTTTACTCACGATAGATTACGGTAGTGTTCAAAATGGCCTAAATAAATATTTAATACGTGAGAGTTCAATCCATTAAAAAGTTATTTTATGATGTTGACTATAAAGCGCTATTGAATTGACAGTCGGCAGCACCACATAAATTTAAATGAACAATGAGCTAAATTGCACGAGGTAGAGCAATGACGCAAGTTACGATTCACTATAATTTCTATATACTGGAGTGCAAGCAATTATGTACATGTTCAATTTTTAATTTTGCTGTATAGATATATATAATATTTTTTAAGTTTAGTCGATGACATATAATTTGTTTCACTTTCCCACAATTATGTTGTCTTTCATGCATCAATATCCTGTTCTAAGAAATGCTCAAGGTTCGTATGACATTTATATATTCTACAGTAAAAACAAGCAAAATCTAGACTTCGCTATAGTTCAATGGCCAACGTAGAAAAACAGGTTATTTTGACCTATATGTATCATTTAGAAAAAGAAAATGCGTAGACCTACTTAAATGTCATTTAAATGTGACCACTTGCGACGATAAATTATGCATTATTTTAAAATTATTATATCAAATATATTTCATTTTAAAATTGTAATAAAATACTTATGTAAGTATGAAGATAAGATTTTGACGTCATTAAATATTTTTTTAAACTTTTTCTGCTGTCAAAGTTTCCTGTAAAAATGACATTACCGTATATTATTATTTAACAATAATATATGTGCATAAAAATACTATTATTAGTAATAATAATTAACTGAATTTAACATTTAAGTTAAGTAGGTTTATTTTTTAAGTTACCTTATCAAAGCTGCTAAATAAGCTTATCTATATCAGTGTTTTATCTGATTCGGGTAGCAAAGTAGCATCTTCCATTCACTTTTCTTATGCAATCGTAATAAATTATTTCATACGACCATGTTTACACGTCACTTTGACTTTTATACATTATCAAATACAATAAAAATAATAATTATCTTAAAGGCAACTTAATTTTTATTCTACAAATCATGTTTGAATTTAAAATTCACGTTTTATGCATATTTAATGTCTTTTTTATTCATTAATACTGCACGGAGTAGAAACTAGATTTTTGATTTGTGTTAAACCAGTTTAATTTAACATATATTTCGATAGGTCAATGACAACATCGAAGTAAGAAGAAAAAGTAAATTTGATAGTATTACAAAGATTATTACAAAATATATTTATCAAATGATTCTGAAAAGTGCTAAATAATAATTGATTAAATGTTATTTTCTTATTTTTATTCAAAGAAAAGGTAGCTCTATAAAATTGTTTAGTATGGTTAAGTCAGATTTTTCTATGTTAGAAAAATTATCATACTGTTTACATGAAGCATACCCTTAAAGATAAATGTGTTAATACAAATACCAACTATCAACAATAACAATCTCACTGTATAGGATATTCACTATTCAGCGCATATTATTTATTTACACATATCCACATTCTCAAGCACCTTACTAACATACCTGATATATAGACTAATTTGTGATATTATATGTATGACACCACTTCATATTACGAACTATACCTATTGGCTTAAAATTACAAATATGTTTATTATGCATGGATGCATCAATGCGCAAAAACTATTTTATATTAATTACTAAGAGGAATGTAAATGAAAAATAGTGATATGCGGTATATTTCTAGAGTTTTAATTTAAGCGATATCGTAATAAGTGTTAGAATTCTTACCAGCTGTATTTATAGGAGCAATGCCGTGTAGAACGTCCTGACAAGGTTTGGTGTGTTTCGACCAATCTTTTTCTTTGATGATATTGTATGCCGCTGTCAAATCTTTTTGTTCTTCTGTTACGACTTTCGGAAGTTCGTTACCGAACTTTGTATTGCCGAGCAAAACGTCTGTTTTCGGATAGCGGATATAGAAGGAATCCTCTAGAGCCGGCGGGGATGAGGCAAATGGTTCAAACTCCCTGCAAACAAAAAAATTATCTATTTAATACCTTCAGACAACTTTTGCTAGTAATTCATATTAGATAAAAAATAAATAGGGGTAATTTAGATAAATGGATTTAGTGTGCTATAACTATCCCTTACGCCATTCCATCGTCTGTAACTAATTTACAGCAAAAGGCTACTATTTCATAGGACCACCATCACCACCACCACTTCCAATGTACCAGGATAAAAAGAATCTTTGACATTTAATATTACAGTATGTAAATGGTAATGGTAAATTAATACACTTCTGTAAATAAAGTATTTACTTTAAAACAAAGTGCTTCTACATTTTCACTTTATTAAAACTTACGAGATTAGGTTGTTGAAAATATTGAACTGAGCCGCTACTATGTTTCTATTCTTCATCATTATAACGCAGTTATTAATTAATAATACGAACTAATTATATATTATTGCATGAATTAGATTTATCTCACAAGGATAATGTTAAGGTGCAAACGGTTACAAAATACACATAAGACTAAAAGAGTAAACGACAACTAATACCATTATATAGCAAATACTGTTGCTAACAAGTTAATCTTATCACGATAATATGACTTGTTAACGAAACAAAAATAACGTGTGACGTCACAGTCAGGCGACCAATGGTATAAGTTTGTACGCGCACTCCCCCAGCGACAACACGAAACGCGACATACTAAATACTAATATGTATACTACATAGACATACGAGTACTTAGAGGTCAAAAGCATACGTTCACAATTTCGAAACGATACATGATTTCTTTAGGGGGGAAAATGGAAATTATTGAACAATTCGTAGAACCCTTGATGGCCGTTCCAAGTTATTTATGTAGTAAACAGAACAATATTTATAAAGACACGGACTTGAGCGTTTTATTGCGATATAAATAGATAAATTGGCATTCATGCAAGAATATCTCGTTCACTTTCTCGAATACGATAAATTAGGAATGTTTCGAAAATATCACACACTAGTAGTATATAAAAAGTTTGATATCAATTGACCGAGCGACCGGAGCGTCTCTGCTTCGAATCTGGCAAAATTTGCTGTCCTCTGTTAGTTTGCTGGTACTCTTCTACTTATACTACTCACTCGGTCGTATTTTACAACAGATCTGGACGAAACTTGGTATACAAGTTTATTTATTTATTTATACTTTATTGTACATCCTAATCATGAAGTAAATACACTTAACAAAATATAAAACAAAACAAAAGTGTGCGCAAAAAGCCGGTCTTATCGCGAATTAGCAATTTCTTCCAGACAACCTTAGGGTTACGAAATATGGAAGACTATACAGGATGGGTGGTGTAAATATTAAATATTATATAAAATAATATAATACGTACCACGATACAACCTAATACTCATAAATACTACACATACACCTATATATAATATATATCTACAAATTATACTAATATATATTTAAGTTATAATTAATATACATGTTGTACAATATCGACTTCTCATTTAGAGAAATGATCTAGAAAATGATTTTTAACAGATTTTTTAAATATTTTTAATGATTTGGAACGTTTTATACCTATGAACAGGCAAACTATTCCAGAGTTTGGTTGCTTGTACAGAGTAGGAGTACTCGAAAAGTTTTACGACTTTATAGAAATTTTTATCGTCGGGAATTTATAATTTAAGGAGTACTTCCTCCAAAAAGGGCAAAAAAGGGGGCTACTGCATATTTCCGCCTTATGTTATCCGATTTCGATGGTTCTTTCTTATTTGGAAGATAGTAACTTTAAGTTAGTGTCATAAAAAATTGGTGAAGATGTGATGAGGATCTTCAGCGTGATGAGCAGAATAGCTCCTCAAAATGCAGTTCCTCAAATGTGCTTGCGAGGTCTACTGTTCGCAGAACTACTAGTAATACGTATAACACTAAAATTAAACAAAAAAAAAATATTTCTTATAAGCTAGCATCTACATTATCATAATGGCAGTGACCGCGTCAATTTATATGAAAATTATATCGTAAATTACTTTTAAAGAAGTGTACAAAAAGTAAATTTAAGAAAATAAACGGCACTTATCAACATAGTACATACAAACAAAAAATATTATAACTGAAAAAGGATATACCAAGTTAATTTTAGAACTGTCGTGAATAATATTGTCCATCCAATTCACAGGTTGATGAGATGATAAGATAACAAACTCAGATCACTAATCTACAAAATATACAGGTGGTACAAACGAATGGAACATGGAAAAAAGTCCCTTAAATATCGAAATAAAAAAAATGTATAATTTTTAATATTTTTAAAAATAAAGTAAGGTTTTTCTTTGAGTGAAAATTGGTTTCTTCATTATTTAGATTCTGATATAAATTCATTTTTTTCCACCTATATGTATAATAATAGATTTCATAAGTTTTGATAAGAATTGATTTATCTATACTAATATTATAAAGAGGCAGATTTTGTTTGTTTGAACGCGCTAATACCAGGATCTACTAATCCGATTTGAAAAATTCTTTTTGCATGAGATAGCCCATTTATTGAGGAAGGCTATAGGCTAATTCATATACATAATATATAGTCTATCTATTCCATACTAACCGTTAAAATGTACCTAGACACGAACACGAGCGAAGCGAGGGTGAGTCGCTAGTTAAATATAAATAGCATTTTACTTTTAGTAAGTTAAGAAGTACCTGTAAGTAGTAATTAATAGTTTTTAGTATATATCAAGAGCTAAGAGCAATTCCTTTAGAAAATTTAAACGATGCAGTGGGTATCTTAATATATATATTTCTTGTGTGCGTGTGTATGTGACTGAACTCCTCCTAAACGACTGGACCAATTTTGATGAAATTTTTTGTGTGTGTTCGTGGAGATTCGAGAATGGTTTAGATTTACAGTTTGGTCTACTGGAAAATGTTTTTTCAATTAATTTCTTATTTATAAGGAGTTGTTGATTTTGGAATGTTTTACATTAGATCCGGCGGACGGCGCTATCATCGCATTCAATATTATTCTATTTCAATTTTAGTTTGTCCCGACAGATGGTGCTACGATTAATTTGAAAAAAAAATTGTTATTCAATTCATGTGCTGATTAAAATATTAAATGTAATTATTTTTTAAAGAGTTTTGAAGTGTGTATAAATAATTTTGTGAATTCAGATGTTTTTTTAATTAATTTTTATTTGTAAGGAGTTTTTGATTTTGGAATGTTTTACATCAGATTCGACGGATGGCGCTACCATCGCATTCAATATTATTCTATTTTAATTTTAGTTTGTCCCGACAGATAGTGCTACGATCAATTTGAAAAAGTATTTCGTTATTTTGTGTTATAATTGTGTTATTCAAGTGAAGTTGCTAATTAAAATATTTAATGTAATTAGTTTTCGAAGAGTTCTGAAGTGTATATAAATAACTTATACATTTTGTAAATTATATATATATATAATTCTTCTGTGAGTGTATATATCACTGAACTTCTCTCAAACGACTGGACCGATTTTGATGAAATTTTTTGTGTGTGTTCAAGGGGATCTGGGAATGGTTTAGATTCACAATTTGAATAATAATTTTCATCAAAAAAATTATTAAAAAAAGTTTGAAATTTTCAAATTAAAGACGTGTAGACAGGGCAACGTCTGTCGGGTCCGCTAGTAATAAAATAATTTCATAAGTGACAGCCAAGTTGCAGTGCAGAAACATCATAAAAAAAATAATAAATCTTTGCTACGCTCGAAGAATGAGTATAATATAATACCCATATTATATATTTTAGTAAACAACTAAGGTCTAAGTTATATAAGCAGCTTGTTTTGAAGCACTTGTATCAAATTAAAAACAAACTTTATAATAATAATGTACATATGCATGTTCTCAGTAATAAGCAATTATTTAAATAAAATATTATCACATCAACTTACATTGGAATCAAAACAACATGCATTACGCGATGTCAATAACTCAAGATCTAGATTGATTGACGCTGACGTCATAGGATTTAAAAAGACGAATGTACACAGTGAAATTGATAAGGCTTCTCTCTCTCTATACATACATATAACTTAAATTTAATTAAATGAACTAACTTATTGCATAAACTTATACTATTTATAACGATTATACCTACTATGTGCGTTTTTTTTAAATCTACGCAATCAACTTTCTATATAAGTACCTACATAGGTAGATACATAAGTACATATTTATATCATAAAATCTTTATACTTAGGTATATACCTACTTCGTATTAACGACGATAAATGTTTACATAATAAAATTTAATATAATACAATTATTGTGTTAGTACTGGTGTCGTCACAAATTAGCACGTTAAATAAAGCTAATGGATGACGTACCTAAGTTAAATATTTGTTGCTTATTTAAGAGAAATAAGCAAGGTTGATCTATTTTGATACAAATCAGCCGACCAATTACAAAATCTTATTGCAACCACACCTACTTAAGGCAATGACCTTGAATAGGTATTATGGTACCACTTAATTTGCTCTATTGCAACATCTAATACCTTCAAGATTCTTATAGAAATCGAGATCTATATAATGCTGTTTAGTCAATTTTAACTTATTAAAACCCAGACACAAGAAAAACATGTGTTATTTCTCTTAAAACTCAATACATAAACAATTATTGTATACGTAGTTTACTAGTGTTTGCCCTAACGAGCGTGTTTATTCAATTTGAATAACCAGTAGTAGGAGTAATTTATAACTTCATTTGCATAAAGTTATAAATTGAAACCATACATTTTTACGAGATAAAAAGTAATCTATATGCTATTCCATACTATAATCTGTCTCTGTGCCAAATTTCATCCAGATCCGTTCAGCCGTTCTGGCTTGATTGAATAAGAAACATCCAAACATCATCTAAACTTTTACATACGAGGGTGCGATTTTATATTCGCGGAATGGATAGGTAGGTCCTTAGTTAGGGTACTTATTCGAGTCATTACGAATTAGGCAACTCATTACTAGTATAAATACCAAGTTTTATCGTAATTAGGTCATTAGTCTACCAACTATCATCAACCAAGCAAGTTAATCGGGAACAAATTGTGGAATATGGAGAAAATCGAGTACTGCGCTGTTCAAATAATACTGAAAAAATCAGTTCAAACAATACTGGAAGAGATGTCATCAGTACTCACTTAAAGAGCAAGAACTCACTTAAAGACGACCCACGGCCAGGCCGGCCGATCGAGGTGACCACTCCGGAAAAAAGGGATCCTGTTGATCGATTATAAAGATAAAGGTGTCTCCATATCCCGAGAATACTAGGCTTCAATCCTAGGCTTTATGTTATACAGCGACTCGCTTCGCTAGGATTCGTCGTTATGTACATATTTATATAATATTGTTCATACAATACTAATATTGCAATTAAAAAATAGGGGGTGGGGGTAGGAGGGTAAGAAGTACTTTACAACCTATTCTCATACCTACCAAATATACAACGTGACACGAGATATTTATATAGTAGAAGATTAGTAAGAAGTAAGATAGTAGTAAGATTAACAAGAATATATTTCTGAGTCATTCATTTAATTGAGAGGAACTCACCAGAGTTATTGTATGCACACCCATGAAGGTTTGTGACAAATACCTTGTTTGTTGTTTGAATTAATTTTAGTCTTAACTTTGCAAATAAAACTAGTAAATCAGGTGTATATATTTCATAAAAATACTCTAAGATTATAGAGATACTAATATTATAAAGAGGAAAGATTTATTTGTTTGTAGTATTATATAAACAAAGTCAACAAGTGAGAATTTACATTATCCTAGAGCTGTTCTATAGACTACCCATTATACTTATATATATTTTTTGTCAAGATGTCATAGCTTTTGGCCTAAAAGTAAAAAAAACAGCATTCTTTGTGTGAGCTGCCTGAACAACTGTTTTAAGTTCTATAAAAAAATCAACAATACTATAACTTACTTATATATTTCTTTGTTGTTGTTGATGAATGTTTAAAATACAGTTTTACCTGCTTATTTAAACTACATAATAATAATCCTTATAAATATAAATTATTTATCTTTATAAGAATTTAATAAAGATATTTTTTACCTTTTACAGTAGGCTCGTTGGTTATATTATAAGATAAATATGATTATACTTTCAGAATTTTGATATACAATTTCTTTTAAGTTAATACATGTGTTAATTGCCATTTATCTCTTTGCATGGTCGCAAAGATAATTATTTCCTTAATATAATTTAAAGTATTCATATAATGCATCAATGTAATGAGTTCACTTAGGAAAAAAACCAATAAGAACATCTATGGAATTATTTTAAAGATTTAAAAGATTAGAAATTATCACTCACTTGGTGGGTTTACTTTTCATCCAAACGGGAAGTGTAAATCCATCCTTTAGTTCTGGATCAGTTGAAGCCATCTTAAGTAAATATTGTTATATGATAAAGTTTTAAATAATATGAAATAAAAAAAACAAGATATTACCCAACACAACAACTCTGTTAAAAAACAAGAAATGATATGCTACTTAGGTGTGCTTTATCTTGAGCAGAATGATAAGAAACTGATATGATGGTTAACATTAAGAATTATTAAAAAATGTATTTTAAAGAACTTATTTGTTATGAAAATTAAATCTAGTATTGCATTTGTAGTGTTCAAGACACTCTTTGGGAAGCACCTGACTTCAACTTGAGAGATGACAGAAGCATCTGTAACAAACATGTTTGAGGTCAGATTTCTTTTCTAAATATTTTAATAATCAATGTAGTATCATGTAGACAGCATTCATATTTGTTACTTTGATTTAATTATTTTTTTCAATAGTACTAATAAACTTAGGTTCAATCCAAATCACAAATCATAAATTAAATCATAAATTAAATCACAAATACAAAAAACACAAATTAAAAACCCAATAATTGCTTTTATGGGGTTAGTTTTAAACTAAAATTGTGTCATAGCAAATTGCAAAATCCATTAGATGTCAATATTAGGTATCAATTAAGTTTTCAAATAATAAACAAACCAGCTACTTCTCAAATTATGCGGTTCTAAAACGCAATAAACAAACAATGAACGATAATAAATTACCTACAATTTCTCTGCCAAGAGTTTTATATGGTATACCTACTTTTAATTATTCGCCATTTTAACTCATGATGCTATAATGTCCTTGATAGATTGGCAAGAAGATCATGCCTATTATAAAATTTAAAATACGTAATAAGTAACACCTGTATATAAAGTATTGAATTACATAACTATAATCACGAATAAAATGCATTACTAGTTGAAAAACACTTAAACATGTGACATCATAAACATTAAACAAAAACACGTGTATAAATTCTATTAATGAAAGAATTTGTTACGAGAGAACACAATTTAAACATCTAAACTAGTAATAAGTTAAAACCACTAACTTACCGTATTAAAAGCAACAAAAACATAACAAAAAAACATTTTATATTTTTCACAACGCCTAAGTGTTCAATAGGTACTACGTAGAAAATGAGTAGGAGTACCACAGATGACAGATGAATACTTAAAGTTTGAAAGATTAAAAAAATGAATTACGAGTGTACACAGATATACAAAATATTATAAGTATGAAATCGATTCTGAGCTTCGAATGTTTGATTAATAAAGCGACATTACAATAATATTATTGCACTTGTCTTACGTCTATAGCACTATCTACGGCGTCGATAGATGCTGCGAAAGTAAAAATATCAATTTTTACGTAAGGTAAATTTTTGACTTAATTTGTTCAAGTAGCAAATTAGTATCCTTTTATTTATCTTATTTTAAAAAAATATGTTTTAATAAAAAAAGTAGAACTTCAAAGTCAATTGTGAAGTAATTAAATATTGCTTTTATTGTAGATTTTTTACCTTCTTTTCAAATCGGATTAAAGTAAATTTTCTGGAACGAAGTTCCTTATCGCGCATGGTACGCTTTGAGCGGATGGGAGCATAACTGAAAAAAGTATAACTGTAATAAGACTTTTTTCTGACACTTCTTGCTATAGTTACAATTACAGCCGTGTATAAACTGTATACATCGCCGCACACAGTTCTTCCACGTGCCGAAAGGCTCGACGGCTTTCTTTTCATCGTCTACCAAAAAACGGGTTTACGCTGGTAACGTTAATTTGTGACTACTATCACACCTATATTTAATTGATGCAACTTAATTAAGGAATAATAGAACTGCGTGGGAGATGACAAGGCGAGATGCAATTGTATGTAGTAGGAAGGTGCATAATACCTGCTGATGCTGTGTAGCTTATTTCCATGCGGATAGATCGTCCATCACACATCAAGTCCACAATAACCAGTACGTTCACTAAATTGTCCAAATCAATTAGCGGCGCAAGCACATGTAAAGGTCCTCGGCCACATTTTCTTAAACAACAACGAGCTACTTACTCACTCCACACGCACACACTTCGAAGATATGTGCGGGAAAGGGACAAAGGTATGGAAATGAATTGCAACAATCTAATTTTATTTCGATTTACGTAGTACCTAGAAATTTCCATTGAATCAGCGCAACCACGAAAGGAACTTCGTTCCGACTGGGGAGATCCCTCATTTTTTGCGTCACCAAATAGGGAGGCAGTCAAAAGGCCCTGCCTAAAAAATGAGCATGAATAGCTTACGTAGGTAACAATCGCAGGTGCAGGCTGAGTAAAACTTATTACTTTATCACTGAATACTTGTTAACTAATGACTAGTTGGGTGATGGGTCTCGTGTAGAATAACTCAATAAGTAGATAATGATTGTATAGTAATATAGTAGACAAATGTTATATTAAATGAGCAGCTGTTGAACTGATTTCCCAGTCGGTGGTAGATTCTTAACGAACTTTAACACTGTGAAAAGTGATTCAAAAGTGCTCGTAAAAGTCTATTTCAATAAAGTATGTTTTGATTTGATTGTAGGATAAGGCTAGAATAAAATAAGAATAGAATGTAGGTATACAAACAAGGGAACTCAGAGGAATATTTAAGAATTACCTCACTACTCATAGCTTAGTTGTTTTAATGTACTCTCTAATGAACACTAATTGTATGTCTTGGACTGGACCGCGGACTGCCCATGGCTAAACGTGTGAATCGATTTTATGGTCTGGATTTGTTAAGTAAAATACAATATTAACGTATCCAGGGACAGCAAATTATTAGAAGTGTTTCTAGTAATCTTTCACAAGGTCTAAGTAGTACAGTAATCTGCTGTGCTGTCATTGGTTTAAAAAAGTCATTAGGGCAATCTAATTACCGTCAGGTGTCAATAAATATAAAATTATTAAATTAAAATTTAATGACATCGATAATATTTCATCGATTTTAACAATTCTAATAGTATTAGTGACGGCATTTCTTATCTATGCAAAGCAGCAAATAAAAATGTCAACTCAGAATTTTACTAATAGTTGATACTGATAGTTGTGTTTACTGTTATTTTTCTTTCTAAATACAATTAACGTTTATTCACTAAAAACGTATTAAAAGCTCCAAATTGTAGCAAATTATATATTAATACTTACTTACCAATACTTTATATATAATAATGGCAAAAGAAGAACCAACTGATCTTGATTGGATACAATTGCGCCGCGAAATGGGTCCGGCACAACATGTTGAAACTACCCAAGAAAAATTTACAAGAAAATTTCGTGAAAATCCATTTGTTCCTATAGGTACAGATGCTATTAAATTATTTTTATTATAATATATTGCGTTCCAGTTTTCTTCTTTCTTTTCTATACATACAAAATATATCACAAACTTTTAAATATTGTAAAGGCTAGGAGAACGATTATTACATAACTATATTTATTTACAGGGTGTCTTGCTACAGCTGGAGCTCTTACGTATGGTTTATGGTGTTTCCGTACTGGTAGAACAAAATTGTCACAGCGAATGATGAGACTCAGGATTGTTGCACAAGGTTTTACAATAGCAGCTCTTGTTGCTGGTGTTGTAATGACTACTGGAAAATCTAAATAATTTGATTCCTAAAATCTTTCTATCCTTAAAAGATGCTGGCTTGTATTTTAACTTAAAATACAATCTGTAGTTTAAAGTTAAACTATAAACCACTATATGAATAATAAAATATAAAATTAGTATAATATTAATGTATATCATAGTAAATATCATGTTTAATAAAATAATTGAAACACATGTAGTATATATTCATATCCTTAATTTAAAAAAAAAACAAAATTTTTTAGATATAAGTGTTATTGTTTGTTTAAGCTGAAACATAAATATCTACACTTAAATTGAAAAATATTGAGAAATATCTAATAATTTTACTAAAACTAGACTCAAAACTTATTACAGTATATTTTAAATCTTCACTCTGATCATATTAATTAACAATTGTCATAAGTTAATTTAAGTTTAGTTTAGTTTTTTAATTTTTTCATAATTTTATATGTTAAAGCCTCAGACCAATAAAAAAGTATAGACAGAGCATTGCGCACAAAAGTGACGCAAATAATATGAAGACGATTCAGCAATATGAAGACAGCCGCTCGGTAGTCTGCCGCAAGTGAGTGAGAGTGCGTGACGTGCTTTTGGTAAAATAATAATTGCGAAATTAAGCCGTCTTGTGTCATAAACTGCTGCAAAAACAATTCATGTTTTCAAAAAAAGTCTTCTAGGATAACTTTTCACAAGTAACTGATTTTCTCTATAATTTAAACAAAATCGCAAAAATATTGAACATAATTCTCCGAACACGAATTCGAAGAAGGTTAAGGTTAGGCCTTAAAAAGAAAAACGCGTCAAATTAGTTATAATTATTCTAATATATGTAAGTTTTGTATGGTCTTATTGTTAAATTATTAATTATTTTTATATAAGAATAAATAGGTATTACATGATTTTGAAGTAACACGGGATAGAATCTTGTTAGAAGGATCTTCTCAAACACTTTTGACAGAATCGGCAGGAGACTGATTGGCCTGTATGATGTGAGTTCCTCCCGGGGCTTTCCAGGTTTAATACCTAAACACCAGTTTGGATTTAGACAGCAACATTCCACTATAGAACAGGTACATCGGGTCTATGAACATATACGCAGATCACTTGAAAAGAAATAGTACTGCTCAGCAGTATTTCTTGACATCCAACAAGCATTCGACAAGGTATGGCACAAGGGCCTCCTCTATAAAATAAAAAGGTTCCTGTATCACGATTTTTTCTTGCTGTTTAAATCTTACCTTGCTGATCGCATATTCCAAGTTAGAGAAGAAAGAGAATCGTCCGAATTCTGTAACATAACAGCTGGAGTACCACAAGGATCCGTTCTTGGACCGATCTTGTATTCTCTTTTCACTGCAGACCTTCCAGAAATGCAAAATATTACCACTGCCACTTTTGCTGACGACACCGCAGTACTAGCTAGTAATACAAACCCTAAAGAAGCCTCTAGTATCTTACAGGCAGGCCTAGACCAAATAGAAGACTGGCTCCAAAAGTGGCGGATTAAAACAAGTACATCCAAATCTACCCATGTCACATTTGCTCTTAGGAAAGGAAACTGTCCGCAAGTCAAATTAGGAACAAGTACTTTACCGCAGAGTGACACAGTAAGATACCTTGGGATATGTACATCTGGATAGAAGATTAACTTGGAAAAACCACATTAAGGCATGAGCTAAATATACGATACAAAAAACTATACTGGTTGATGGCACGCAATTCCAAACTATCTATCGACAATAAACTACTCATTTACAAGACTATACTCAAACCAATTTGGATACATAACATATACAATACAGCTTTGGGGAAGTGCCTGTAGCTCTAACATAACCATTATACAAAGGCTGCAAAATTGTATCTTACGCACCATAGCAAATGTACCCTGGTTTGTAACCAATGCCGAAATACACAATACCCTAAATATAACCACAGTCAAAGAAGAAATTAGGCTGTCAGCAATTAAGTATAAGGGTCGGCTCAAGGATCACCCAAACGAACTTGCAACGAAACTCCTTAACATGAGTTATCTCAAATGTCTAAAGCGGCATGACATACAAAACCTAGACTCTTTACTATAAGGAGGGGGTCATCCTTGCTGAAGGATCATCTCAATAACGCTAATTTTCTTTTGAACACATCTGCTTATAGTTGAAGACTGATTGCAGATAAACGAACAAGAAAACAATATATATAAGAATAAATGACTCATTAAACTAATTTACCTTTCATTTCATGTAACCAAGGCAAAAAAAAAACAATACTACCTATAATAAAACTTTTCACCAAAGTATATCGTGAGTATATCTCTCGCACTTGGGAGTCGTAAGCACAACGCTTGCAACATTTTTCTCTAGCACAAATGCGCAAATCTACGCTATCTTACACCGAGTTACCCACACAAAGCCAAAACTTTGCCTCACTTATTTCGTTGCGTTTGTTTACAACGGCTCCGTTTATACTTTTTTATTGGTCTGAGGTTAAAGCAGATTAAATAACATTGGAATGAGTAGTTACCAAAAAAAACATGTATCAATTTTATTTATATCTCAAGGCCAACTTCGTAACATATCAGAACAACATAAAATTAAGCAATTATAACCCCAAATGTTTGTAAGAGTGGAGTTTGTAAAAAGTATAAAAAGCTTTTGGTAATACCTGTTTTTGTCTATATACTGTGTTCACCGAATGAACCAAGCACTGAGATTTTGCGCTTCCACGTGATTGGTTGTAGATAAGACGCTTGGCCGCGATTACAATGCATTATGCAAGTCGTAATTAGTCCATCGTTGCATTACGTACTGTTCAGATGCTCTCGTGTAATTATCTGATTTATTATCAATGTAGAAGATGACGGTGATACGTCGAAAAGTAAAAATTAATAAATAATGTATACAAATATTTAAAAATAGTTATTTTTACTTCAATGTTGATTTTATTTTATTATAAATTATTAATAATTTCCTACTAAAGCATTAGCAACATGAAGGAGCCTTAAGATTTCAAACCAGTTGCAAGCGTTAGTGGGCGGAGCTAGACAGTTTTCCGTCAGTTATCAGTTTGTATGCTAATGGGGGACAGAAAGCGCATTGCATGGTTCCCTCCTTGAACAGTATAGTTCATTTGTAAAAATAAGAGTTTATTGTATTTAGCCCTTTTTTTAACATCCCACTGATGGGCACGGGCCTCCCTTCAATACGAGGGGGATCAGGCCATAAATTGCGATACTATTATATATTATAGCGATTCACCCTCACTTCCCTCGGGTTCGTCTTCCCTGTATATTATTATACTCTTTGGGTTCGTCATAGATAGACTATATATTATAATATATAGCCAATACCAATAGCTTTCCTTAATAAACGAGCTATCTAATGCAAAAAGAATTTGTCAAATCGGATTAGTAGATCCTACAAACTATATAGAAATGCTTCGCATGTAGATCCTGAGATCAGCGTGTCAAACAAACAAACAAACAAAAATCTGCCTCATATAATATTAGTATACATTAGACATGTTCAAAATTAAAATATATTTTTTTTAGGTTTTGCATTAAATTCTTCGTAGGAAGTATTTGTCATCCATGGTAGGAAGCCAAAAGTTGACTGTTCATTGACTTCATTGCATCGTGCAGCTCTATATAGTCTATGTAATTCTTCAAGCTTGTCAAATTGTCACCTACCCTACCCCAGCCTGCAAATTTATGATATTCGCAATGAAAAAAATACTAATCGATAGATTTTTAATAGCTCAATTCAACTACGTAGCCCTTCCAAATTGCTCACCATTAATTATAAAATTAAAAATCAATAAAGTCCTTGAAAAAAAATTCATTTATCCGTATATTCAAATTTCTATATCTTTTGATATATACAATATTTTAAATTGCTCAAAGTTCTAAAATACTGCTCAAGTTGCATTTGTAATTGCTCAAGTAGAGTTCTCACCAGCTCCACTTTCCTTAATTATTAAATAAATATAAATAGTTTGAATAAATTTAACGTATAGATAGGTGAGTGCTGCGCATGCGCGCAAACAGTAACGCGAGTCGCAAGGCAAAAAAATCAAGTGTTTCATAACCTCATCATAGTGAAATGAAACTGTAATACTCCAAGCACAACATCATCTATTATCAGGTATTTTTATTATTTATTGACTTATTCATTATGTTCAATTTATACAAAAATCAAATCATGACTAAAAGGTAACTTTATTTTGTAACTTTATGTCTGTTTACAAAGTATTTTCTATATATTCTTCTTTGCTCCAAAACAAAATAAGTAGTAGTATACATGCTCATTATGTTTGCTGGATATTTTTCACTTTTTGACTAAAACTAAAAAATGCTAGAATAAATATAGCTAAAATATACATAAATCTGCTAGTCTAGTAACAGAATTAAGACGTTGAATTGGAACGATTGTCCAAGCCCGCCGAGGCCGACCGACAATGCGCGGTGCGCATGCGCACGCTCACTTAACCTACGTTACATTTATTACAACTATACTTTTAATTATTTAATAATCAGCGAAAGTGGAGCTGGTAAAAACTCTACTTGAGCAATTACAAATGCAACTTGAGCAGTGTTTTAGAACTTTGAGTAATTTGAAATATTGTATACATCAAAAGATATAGGAGTTTCAATATACAGATAAATGAATTTTTTTTCAAAGACTTTATTGATTTTTAATTAAATAATTAAAGGTGAGCAATTTGAAAGGGCTACGTAGTTAAATTGAGCTATTGAAAATCTATCGATTAGTATTTTTTTCGTTGCAAATATCATAAATTTGCAGGCTGGGGTAGGGTAGGTCAAATTGTCACAATAATTTATTGTTTTGACTTTAGTTATGTAGCAATATACTCTATGGTTTTGACTTTGACAAGTTGAAATAACGCGAGTAGTGCATGATATTAATTTAAAATTTAGAATGTTTTTGAATGAACTATAATGATTTCTACGTAAGTTTTAAGAGCAAATAAAACGAAAACTGTAGAACGATGAATGGATTCATAGCTGTTCATTGCGGTAGGTTAAATTTTTATTTAATCGTATAGCACATGCAAACTATTTTTATTGTTTTTTCTTCTTCTAATTCTAAGGAGCGGGATATCATAGTGATTCATTTAGAAAAGAATATCAAAGGACTTGTTATGTTGCTTGTCGAAAGGCAGCTGAAGCGCTATCACAAGGAGGAAATGCGGTGGATGCTGTTGAAAAAGCCATAATAGGTTTGTAAACCACACTTAAGGATAAAAAAATGACATCAAATTTAAATTTTATACCAAAAATACTGGGAAAACAAAAACAAACCTATCCCACGGGAACCGTACATTTTTCCGGGATAAAAAGTAGCCTATGTGTTATTCCAGACTATAATCTATCCCTATGCCAAATTTCATCCAGATCCGTTCTGCCATTCTGGCATGAAAGAGTAGCAAACATCTATACTTACAAACTTTCACATTTATAATATTAATACGAATGTATATTAAAGATCATATATTTAAGGGTATTTATATTTAAAGTATTTGTTATACATATATTATTAAAAATCGTTTTTTTTTGTATTTAGATAATATTAACATTTTTATTACAGAATTAGAAAACAGCTCATTAACAAATGCTGGATATGGATCCAATCTTAGTTGGGATGGCCTAGTAGAATGTGATGCCTCCATAATGAACGGGCAAACTTTACATTTTGGGGCATGTGGTGCAGTATCCAATGTATGGAATCCAATAACATTAGCAAAACAACTTTGTATTAAACAATGTGAGAGTCTCTCTTTAGGAAGGGTACCACCTTGCATTCTTACTGGGCAAGGTGCTAAAATTTGGGCAGAAAGAATGGGTTTACAAGTTGTTGAAGAACACAAAATGGTGTCAAGCCGTGCCTTTCGTAACTATAAGCATTGTAAGAGAAAATTAAAGAGATATTCTGTACAAAATGATTTAAAATTCAGTCCATTGGACACTGTGGGAGCTATTTGTGTTGATTCAAATGGGGTTGTTGCATCTGGAGCAAGTTCTGGAGGTGTTTCACTAAAGCATGAAGGAAGAGTGGGTCAAGCAGCCTCCTTTGGAAGTGGTGTTTGGGCTGTTATGAGCAGAGATGGTGTAAAACCTTCAATTGCAGCTTGTACTTCAGGATGTGGAGAACATCTTATTAGGACACAATTAGCTAAAAACTCAGCAGAAAGTTTACTGCATACATCTCCTACATTAGGACTTGATAAATGTTTAAAGGAAAATTTTCTAGAATCACCTTTCTTATGGGATATACCCGAAAGATTGGGAGGCACTTTGGCACTTACTTTCAATCCTCAAATTGGAGAAGGTGAACTGCTTTGGGGTCATACAACAAAAACTATGTGCATTGGATATATGTCTACAGAAACTACAAAACCAAAGGTATGGTCCAAAGATTATAATGATAAACTAAGATATAATTTATAAATATATTGTTGTAGTAATAATAAAAGGGATTGTGTGGAATGTGACTTACACCTGGGTGAAGCTAAATGAGATAATATTTTTTTATAATTTCAGTGTGTCATTTCCCACCTACCACCAAGAGTTGAATCTGGTCATAAGGCTGTTGTGTCTGGAGTACCATTCAAAGTTTCTTTACAACCTGTTCCAGTATTGCAGTGGGAAATAAAGACTGAACCAAATTTAAATGGACACCTTTGACGAATAATTATTTCTTTTATTGCTTATAAAAAGTATGAAATATTTAATGCAAATATAAAATATTTAATTGTATAAATTAAAGGTTCTGTAAGAATAATAAGAAGGAATTGTGACATTTGTTAAATAAATAAAACTTAGACAAAAGCTAATAACATAAAGTAGCTGATAACAAAATTACCATATAGAGAAAGAACTTTAAAAGAATTAGAAGTGTTAGGAAGCTTGCTATTTATTAGTGGACTGTATTATATCGTACTTATGTTGATCTCTTCTAATTTATAAGCAAATAGAACAAAATATAAAACAGTTCTCATATTTAAATTCAATGAAAATTTCTATAATGTGCCACATAATTAAAAAAAAATGTTTAGTAAAATTGTACCTACTTAATAAACTAATGTTATTTTTGTACCAATACATACAATAATATAATACCAATACATAAAATAGGATATCAAATATTTTATAGACACTTCTATACTTTTACGAAGTCTATATTTTCTCGCTTCCTAAACATGTACAGTGTAGACTTAAGAGTGTAGTTTACACTTATTACATGATTGCCTGAATATTTTACTTTACTACTTAAATTCAACAATTGACAATAAACACTGCCACCAATTATAATTAATTTATGCATTTTTATAACTTTATGTAAACTTATTGTATTAAAAGTATTAAATTATTTAAACATGAGTTTCAATATTATGTACAAGATTATTACAATTCATTTACAAATTACTATGATCATATAATTCAAATGGACTAATGGGAGTTAGACATACATACATATGTATTTAAACTAATATTTGCCCGCGGTTCTACTTCCGTAGTAGGTACTTCAATATAATTATGTCTGTGTCTGTTGATATACAGTATAAGTTACATCAATTCCGAATTTCATTCAAATGTGTTGCATAAAGCAATGTTAAATCTACTTGTATTCTAGTTTGTGAAATCTTCGGAGTTTGGGCTATTTTTTATTCTGATAAAAATGTGTTTACTGTCAAAAAATCATATTAACTTAAATTGAATGGGAACAATAGTTCAGTTACTTAATCTGCTAGTAGACATCTATATAAAGAATTAGGTGAGATAATAAAATTCAAAATAATATTCGATGTTTTATTTGAAAGAAGAGTGCTAAGATACGTATAATTCGGTGAGAGGCGATTATTAAGTACATTACTAAGTTAAAAATACAAAAATAAAAACAGCTTTTTAAATTGTCGTTCTTACGAGTTAAATGTCATTTTACAATATTCGTCTTATAACTATATCGTTCAAGAACGAACCAATGTCTGCCAAGTACATAGGGACCATTCAGATTGCTGAATTTAGTTTATTCTATTAAGAAGATATGTTGCAGAACATACAGTTATAATACAAATACATACATATTATGTATGTAATAATATTAGCGATGATTAGATTTCCCTAGTGGCTATTATCTAAACTAACAAGAGTAGTTTACATTTTTAGGCGCTTTCTTAACATTAACCAATTGTAATTTTTAACTCTGGATATTTTGATTTATGTTTTTATAAACACAAATCATAAGATTATTTTTAGGAATTGGGAGGATCGAAAATAGTTCTACTACTTGCCGGTAGGGAATCTGCTCACAGCCAATAATTGCATACAAATAAAGCACCACAATAGTACCAACTTCTAAACTCATGAAAATGTAAACCCAATTGACTTCTAAATTCGTTATTTAAAAAAAAATGTATAATACATAGGTATTCTTCATTTTAAATGTATAACATTACGGAAGTTCCTTCTTTACATTTACGCTATAATTTGCGAAAATTCATTAAACATTGCTTACTATTGTGTCAAAAGTATATTTTAATATAATTAAATAAATAAAAATATCCAAACTTTATAATATGATGAATATCATAATTTATAATTTAATTTTGATAATTACATTTCATTAAAATGATCAAATATGAAATTATAAAAGTATATTTAACTAGAATTACTATTGTTCAGTCTATATATAATATGAGCTAACGTTCACAATATGAGATACCCTATAGAACACAACACAAATATAGACATAATGGAAATATCTGATATATTAACATAATTGTTTTTATGCTTATAATAAAGAAGTAATCAGAAGAATAGCAGTCTCAATATATAAAACAATTGCATGTTTTAAAACTAATTGAAAACTATAAATAAACATTCAAATATTTTTTGTACTAAAATGTGTTTGAACCTATTCTATTACCGTTATGTATTAAATCATCTAATATTACTCATTCTAATTATAATTGTGATTAATTTTGTGTTAAATGTAAGATTAAATGCATTAGTTTGTTTATGTGTAGATTACTAAAATACGTATTCATTATATAAAAAAAATCATTAAATATTAAATAAAAAACAACTATATATGAAGGTACACTGGGAATAATATTTTGTTTATGCAAAATAATTGCATTGATATATTGTTTATTAAAAACAAATAATAATTATTACTAACGGTGTGCTTATTGAAAAGTCAATAACTAAATTAAAAAATCTCATAATAATCAATCACAAATAAAATTATACCTATATTATTTTATAATACTAATAGTTTTAGGGAAAAAAGTTATTATAATATTGTGTTAATATTACTAATCTGTCACAGACCACTGGCAAGGGCATCTTTAATATCATTTCATATATCATTCATACAAAATCCATTAAACTATTCACATTCAATTATTATAGATTCATGTCATTTTATTTAATTACAATATCATAACAAAGTATAGCCTCAAAAGAAAAAAATAAATGAAAGTGAAAAACTAATTGAACTTCACAACATGAAAATGTACATTTATGATTTACAAAAATTAACTTTACTATAGAGAATTGAATTCTTAAATAAATGCCGAATTAATACTGGTATCATATAATAATAAACACGTTAGGAGTGTTTTATAAAAATGTCTAATGATATAAAAATATTAATACAGTCACACTGTTACCGAGTTCACATCGAAGTCATCATACACAGAAGCATCCCATCAGTCTATCCAATCCATAACATGCTAACATCACTTATTACTATTACTTTCTAAATGTAATTATGAAATATTTGATTACACAGTACATACTGTTATTGATACATACTGTACTTAACTTTTGATAGCACAAATTATTTCCAAAGGTTGCATCTCTTAACACTAAGTACGCTATTTTAATTCGAATGATCTCTATACAGCAGATGTATAACGTAAAGACCAATCAATTCTCAAAGGAATTTTCGGTTCTCGTAAACTTCTCAAGCATATAAAAAATAAGTAACATTTATAAGTGCACATACCAATACTTCATACGCATCCATACTCATACCAAATAGCTGTTTCCTTTGAATTTTCGGGTTTATCACTTCGACTTGTTCTTTTATCGTGTCTTACGTCTTCTCTCTCTAAATTTTCCTCAACAGATCTTGACTGCTCCGAGATAGGCCTATGGTTTTCCATTGATCTATCATTTTGACACGCACCGTCACCTATCACTGTGGATATTCTATTGTAGACTAAGTATGTTGGATTTTCTTTAACTGGTGTGCTTTGAGGTTTGTTGTTTATGTTCACTTCTGGGTTATCATCTGCTAAGTATACAGTTCTGCGAGTTCCGGCGGTTCCGAATACTGGGGAGGGGGTAGATGCTGAAAAAAAGTTCATATTTTCATATAGTAAATTTTATTAACTCTTATAGATTATACACGATATCATACATTAAATAAGTGAATTATTATGGGCTGCTATAGCTATTTCTCACTGTCTTAGGCTGACTAGATTCTATATTAGAAATAGACCTTTGTTTAGATTTATCAGTATATCAATTATTGTAATAATAATTTTAAAAGTGCAATAAAGAACGTAAAATTGGGAAAATTCATGTAATGTAAAAAACTACAAATAAAACCCCAGAAAGACTACCAAAAGCTCTCAAAAATACTAGTGGAAGCAAAATAAATATGTACTTACCTCATATAGTCATCAAAATATTAAAGCAAATTATTTTATAACATGAATATACAATATAATTCAATAATAATTACCTGCTGGTAAGCTAGATTCCCCTTCTATACCTTGGAAACTATTTCTATGGGTGGGCGGCACAGCTTTATGCGGCCTTCGTCTTAGAGATGCTCTTATAAGGGCATCATCTCCACCCCCACTATGAATAGATGCTGAAGACAATCTTCTTACAAAATTACCCTCATTTAACCTTATTGGATCAAGACTATGAATAGAACCCGACATGTCTATATCGGATTTCTTCAGCAAACTCTCATCGTATCGTCTGCTAAAACTTGAATCACTATGCCTCGGAGATTCGACACTTGGATTCGACGACCCTTGTTCTGGATCGGAATTTTTCGACAGTTTTTCTAGATCTTGACTCCCAGGATCTGATTCCCCAGACTCTGAACCGGCTAGAGTTAATTGAGACTTCGAACGATTGGCATCTTCTATTCTCTTGTTACTTCTTGTAGGCACTTTGTTTATTAAATCAGTACCAGCTTTTCGTACTCTTTTTACAAATGATGCGCCAAAACCTCGTCGTTTTGTTGTGCAATTATCAAGTTTTTTATAATGTTCCATTATCTTCTCTTCTAACTTTTCTTTTTGACGACATAAAGCATTCACTCTATCAGCAAACATTTTTTCTTCCTCATGGTAATGCTGTTTGTCTTTCAAAGAGTGTGCTAGTAATTCGTGATATTGAGTTAAAAGTTGAGATACGTGGTCCATCAAAGATCTTCTATCAGTATCCAGGCTTTTGTTCATTTGTATCAACATTTCACAATGTTGATTCGTTTTACTTATTTCTAACTCCATACTTGTAATCATATCTGATTTTGTGTTTATTTCACCAGATATTTCCGTGTTTTTCAACTTTAATTGAGCTACTTCACTTCTAATGTTTCTATATTCATCTTGCATATTTCTATACTCATTCTTCAATCTATCGCTGGCAGTGAATAAATTCCTGAAGTCTTCCTTTAGTTTTGAGTGTTCAGCCCTGAGGTTTGTCAAATTACGAGATTCGATTTTAAGATTTTCTCGTTCCAATTCAAAATCTGATACTTTCTTTTCGTACGTAACAATTTTTTCCTTTAACTCCCTATTTTCTATCTTTAAGTCTCTAATGGCTGCCTTTACAGGTTCTTTTTCACTTAACAACATTTCATATTCTGTATTTAGTTGTTCATGGAGCGTTTGTAAAGCGACTTGGTCTCGTAAGAGATTGTCTTGTTTGTCTTTCAGTACTTCTAATTGTTTGATAACTTCTTCCTTCTCCGCAGCCAACTGACTGTTAGCAAGTTGCAAAGTCATTTGTTGCGATATTAGAGAGCCATTTTGTGAATTCAATGTTGCTACATTCACTTGTAGTTTTGCATTTTCCGCCTGACAGTTTTCCAGAGACGCTTGCAAAGCAGCTAAATCAGCAGTTAGCTGTTCTATTTGAGGATTAGTTATATTCTCTTCGACATCAGATTTTTCCTTATTATTACAATTACATGGAACCAACTTATAGAAGTTAGCTTTTGCAGCAATTTCCGATACTAAAGTCTCATGATCAACGTTAGTTATTATTTTTTCTAACAATTCCTCAACGCCGACGTCTTTAGATATTATATCGGAAGTGTTAATTCCCAATTTGTCCATACAATTCCTTAGCTTATCGAAATTAACCTTTTCCAAAATAAGATCTTTTTGAAGAGTTTGTATTGTCTCTGTATCTACTTTTTTGCTCGATTTTAATTCTTGGGTTTTCTGTTCTAAGTCTTGGAGGCGACTGCTTAGTGACTGATTAATCTCTATTTGTCTCGTTAATCTTTCGATTTCTTTATTTTTTAATTCTATTTCTGTTGTGATAGTGTCTAACGTGACGTCTTTTTCTTCAACAGCTTCCCTAAGCTTTGTAACTTCTCTTTGTAAATTGTGTGTTTCTTTTTCACTATAAGTTAATTTAGTTTTAAGCTCCTCAGTCTGTATGATGAATCGAGTGACCTTTTCGGCTTCAGGTTTAACAGTATTTAATTCCTTAGTCCTAGCATCTAGAGTTTTTTCAAGATCATCAGCTCTCCGCTGTATTGAATCACATAGCATTTGAATTCTTTGTTTATCTTTAGTTAAAGATTCCAAATGCCTTTCGAAATCCTGCAGTTTATTTTTCTCCGAATCTCTGTCTATTGCTTGTCTATCGATAAAGGATTTTTGATTATCTAAAGAATCTTGCAATTTCCTGTTTTCCTCTAAAGCATTTTTGAATACTTCTTCCAATTCTGAGTTTTGTTGTTTGAGCCTGTTGCAGTTTTCTTGTAATTGTTCACATTTAAGTGCTAATCTTTTCTTTTCCTTTTCCAATTCTAATACTTTATCACTACTTTCTAATAACGAGTGTTCTCTCAGACTGTCGATAGTAGATAGAAGCCTTTTATTTTCTAATTCCAGTTTCAAGGCCCGCGCTTGCGCATTACTAGTTAATTGTTCAGATAAACTATTTTCGCCAGATTCTAAAGTATTTTCACACTCATTGTCCGTATCCAAATTGCTATTGTTGCTTTCACTTAAGACAGACCTGGTAATATATTGTAAATGGTTGTTCTCTTCGATCAGTTCTTGAATTTTTTGTTGATCTGCATCTCTTTCCTAAAAAAAAACATTTAAAATTAATTAAATTTGGAATACAGTCAAGTGTCAAGTCAGGATTTTAGTTGAAATGTAATTATTTATTTACCAATGCGATGTCATTAGCCTCTCTTTTTAACTTTATCATAGCTGCCTCTAGAGATAAGCATTGGTCGGCTCTTTTGCGTGCTCTTTGCAATTGTTCCTCTAAAGCGTCTCTGGTTTCCATCAACGCTTTATTATCCTCACGCAATTCAGCCACTCGAGTTTTATAATATTCGGCATCGGTTAACCGATCGCGATAACGTTGGATTTCTTGTTCCAATCTGATGGAATAAAATGAGAAATAAGTATCATATGTTCGTATATTTCTTTGTACTCTAATGTTGCTTGTATTATACTAAAACTATAACTGTTTCTTTTTTCGAATTTTATTCTAAAAAAAGTTCATTTCATTCATATGCTTAATATTTCTAAATGTCGTTGAAACATTAAGAATTATCTACTAATATTGTCATCATGTGTATTCATTCAGTTTATTTTTGAATAACAAAAAGGAGACATGGGTATTTACATGATCACAGATAATGTCTTAAAAGCTTCTATTGCGAGATTTTATAATGTTTGTGGTTAAATGGATAAAGTATATTATACAGCAAATTGTAAGCAAATCTTAATCATAAACCAAGTGTAAGCTTCAAAGGAAACTAGAGCCAAATTCTATGTTTACAATACATATAACGTTAAATGTATATATAACGTTAAACTTTAAAATATTATTAAGATCTCATACATAATATAAGCAATACAATACACCCATACAAAGTTAGAATCCCTATTAAACTTTCTTAGCAAAAAAGAAAAAGTTTTGAAAATACATTCCATTTTTCAAACTTTTTTAGTGCTCACCTTTGTTCTATTAGAAATTTATGTAAAATTTGATGCGTCTAGAGCCAGTAGGCTTTGCATTGCTTGTCAGTAAGTCAATAATTTATTCAATACCTGTCACATCTTTCGGCTTTTTCCCTTAGAGCATCTACTTCATCTCTGTATCCGGCTGCTTTTCTTGCTTCATTGAACCATTCCTGACTGTCTGCGCGTAGTTTAGCTAGAACTAACTTCGTGTGCTCTAGTTCTTCTCTGCACTCTGACAACTGCTCTGATTTCTCTTCCCTATAAAAAATATAATTATGGTACATGGTAAACATTTCTAGGATTCCATATCCAAATATAGAACCACTGTATATGTAGAACCCCTGTAATTCCATCCTATCTGTCCATATGTAACAGCTTACAGTGCACTCATGGTCTATAGGCATCATGTAACTAATAATAAAACAATTTTAAAATAACCAATATAAATACTTAATTTCGTTTTTATTCATATTCAACAAAAGTAGTTATGAAAATGGTATCACAAAGACTAATGACCGTAAAAACATAATAATATCTCAAATGACCTTTTCATGATTTGGATAAAAATATAAAAATATGTCATTCTTCATACCATAAGTAACGTGTGTGCCTTTCACCACGATTGTATAAAATGTTAAGGAAGGCAACAAACAAACAAATAGGTTTAATTGGCACGAATATTAAAAAGTTTTGTCAATATTACTTATATAATACATAAAATTCAATAAAATGGTCACATTACATAATGCTACAATACTTGTTCAATATTCGCCATACTTTCGCGATTTCTTACCTTTGCTCGAAAATAGCTCTTTGATAAATAAAACATACTAGCGACTCACCCTCGCTTCGCTCACGTTCGTCCCTAGGTACGTTTTGATGCTTAGTATGATGGTATAGATATTATTTTCAATATTTTTTTTTCGTGAATTTTCCGATGTTTTAATATAATATATATAGTTATTCTGCTATTCGGAGTGAAGACAAATCCAACAAAACAAAAATCATAAAAATCGGCCCAGCAGTTCTCGAGTTATAAGTGTTGTAACAAACCTGACTTTGTCAAAAATAAGGGTGTACAACTATAACTAACTCCATTGACATTTAAAATATGTAATGAGTACTTACAATTCCTGTCTTTGTTTTCTTAAACGTGCCTTCCAATCGGCCAGCTCTACAGCCAAATGTTGACTTTCTCCATTATTTTGATTGACACTTTGTGTTGATCGACTTTTCCCATTTTTATTTTCAGTCTCATTTTCACATAGGCCTTCATTAAGGACGAGAGTTGCCCAGTTTTGTAAATAGTGATCGCGTTCCTTTGCTAGCCTCCTCATGTGGTTGAACATTGTTGGTGATTGGAATAGGTCTATTGCATCAGGTGTCAATACTACTGTTTGCATGTCTGTTACCTAAAAATATAATTTATTAGTAATGAATTATTGCTTCTAACCTAAGTGACAGAAATTTTACAGACTTTTGCCCGATTTCACCAACAACCCATAAGCTACCATCTATGTATGGGATCCCTAGCTTAAAAGTCCCCTAAACTAGCCCCTAAATTAAATTTAGTTTTCGAGCACCTAAATTTAGGGAGCCTTTTAATATTTAGGTGACCCCTAACTGTCGGTGAAACAGAAACTGTCCCCTTACAGCCCCCTAACCATGCTTAGGGGATCCCTTAAACTTAGGTGATGTTGGTGAAATTGGGCATTTATCTCTCAAAATATAATACATATTTATTTTCATAATTTTATGAGAAAAGTATTATCTTTCAAAATTAAAAGTCTGTAAAATATTTAGTTTAATAAACTATCAATATAAAAATGCAGTTAAACAATCTATAAAAATATCAAACATATTTATTATTGAATGTTAAATTAGATTTTACAGAAGCTCTATTCATTCTAGAGTTCTAAAATGCTTAGTACTCGTAACTCATTTACATACATGTTTACTTTTATGGAGTTGTTAAGTATATAAAGTCAAGGATACAACATAATTGTATTACTGTGGCATACATTACTTAAATTGCTTCCTTTTTTGGCAAAATTAATGGATTAAACCTTGAAATAAGTTCACCTAAATTACATATCAGTTTGAATATTTACCTATTACTTGAAGTGACTTACATGAATGCTGCCTTTTAATAAGTTTCATTTATTCTATGAAATAAATGTCAGTTTAAATATTTCATACCAATAAAAATATAAAAATTATAGAAAAATATATTAACTAAAATGTCCATTACTTTTACTGTTCATTTATCACATTGCACAGTGCCTCCATAGGGGCAAATGTTAATGCCAGATAAGACCCCTATCAATTTCAAAGACAGTGAAAGTCTACAAAAGAAAACTTTTATTCAAACAAGCATAATAATACAAACCTGTTTTATACATTCCACAATATTATGTTGCAAGTCAACATCAAGTTCCTTAATTCTAGTGATGAAAATCTCTTTATTAGGGCACTGCACTGCGGCTCCAAGTAATAAAAGGCTTAAAAGTTTCATATTTTCCAAACCATCTCTGGAATCTGGTGCTTTTCCTAAGCATATACATTCTGGGACCACTAAAAGTGTCATCCCTAATTCCTCATCATATAATGCTTTCACATTTTTTACTATAGCATCAAAATTTTTCACCCTACCTAATAATAGGGCTTGATCTTCAAGCCCGGTCAGTTTGGTAATGTGAAAAGAAGGTTCAGGATCAATCTGGAGGTAGATATGGTGAAGGATATCTCCATCGAATAGAGATGAGTACTCCTTGATACTTGCTGCATCGGGCAGACATGATTTAAGCTAAGAGAGAAAGAGGATAGTTTAGAAAAAGATTTCAATTTTTGTATCAGTAATATAAATTTAGTATAGTATAATAAATAACTATACTGATATCAATACATACAAATGTTAGTTAATAATGCAAATTATTTATAAGTTTAGCTAATATATGTAAATCTCTTTTATAGAAAATATATTTCAAATGTGAAAGTTCTCTGTGATAGCAATAACTTTTATATAATGAAAACAAAAGATCACCATCAAATTAATGGGTGTCAAGTCTGGGAAGAAGTTAAGAAAAAAGGTCAAGTTAGGCTATTGTTTTTATTGATTTCTCTTTTATTAACATTATGTTATATATTTGTTTAATTATCATTACATATCTTTGTATATTATTTATTGAAGGTTCTATGATGTTTATTTTATGGCGAAAGTACATTTGAAATTAAATTAAAAAAATAGACCTAAGCTAAAATAATTAAATCATAATTAAAATTGACATTTTTAATAAAAATACAAACAATACTGAAGCTTCATATCACTAAAAGCTTTATGTTCAACGTAAGTATTGTACCGTATCTATTTTAACTTAAACTTGTATCTATAAATAACTTACAAGCAGTATGTATGAATAAATATTTTAGGGGTATTGGACAGAATTATAGAAAGAATCTAGCTTAGATCAAATGGAACGCACATATAAATATTGCATACATCATTCTATTGAGGCACGGATGGTTGATCACTCACCCACGAAACAAGAGGTCCGCTTAAGAAGTCTTCGATCTCTGTAGCAGATGCGGCCATTCTCGCCAAGTGTTAGGATGAACCAAATTTAACTTTTTGATACCGCCTGCTTAACATGGTATCAAAAAAGCATTCAAAATGAACACGACTTAAAAAGTTATTAAACATCGGCAACAAAATACAAAGACCCCTGGTTGTATGTGCAAACACCGTAACACGATTTGACAATTTGAAAATATATTGACAACAGTGAACAGAGTAGACTTTTATTTGTCATCCATGGTACAGACAAACAGTTGACATCCAGACGTATTTTGCAATAAACTTAGTTTATGGAAAAGAAAATAGAGATGGCACTTTGATGAATAACTGACGACAGCAGATTTGACCTCATTTAATTTTTGGAGAGATACCTATCTCATTCTAGACAATAGACATGATATAGAAATGAAAGGCGAATGTAGATAAAGTTGAACTAATATAATGACACTAAATTTTGTTTAATAAATGTTTATCTATACGTGTAGTAAAATAGTAAAAAGTGAAATCTGTACTATATCTGTAAAATATAGTACAGTACAGACTGTACTATATTTTTTTAAAACAATACTGATACGTATGTGTTCAGAATATAAATGACCTCAAAACAAAACTTTTTGTCTGTTTGTCTGTTGCTTATCATGCAAAAAGTAATCAGATTTTACCTAAATTTTGTGTAGCTTAAGCTAAATTATAAAATAATTTATTATCGGGTAAACATTAATCATATCTTTAACTACAGGGAAATCTTTTATTCCAACGGGAAAACGTAATAACTGGTTTAACCGAGTTAAAAAAATTTCAACCCTTTATTAGCCAAAACTATTAGCAGCAGTTAGTTTAGTGCCGAAAAACTTTCATTTTCATGAGAAAATGCAAAATTTAGTTCGAGCGCAAGTTACTCATCTAAATCTAAATTCTATACAAGGTACTCGTATAAAGCAAAGTCGCTGTCTGCTTATGTTTTTCCGCTTACTTCAACTTGTGGTTTAGAATCACACATTTGGATTTTGATACAGTTTTACTAATAGAAAGAGCAATAATGGAGGCAGGTTTCTGTAAGTATATAATTTGTACGTTTTTTGTAGAATAGCTGAACACTGACACTGTTTTATCAAAAAAAACTGTTTTCGTGCGCTTACATAGCTAATGCTAAGGCTAAGAGATACATCGAAACAATATATTACAAAATTGAAAATTGTAAGTCTTAAAAAGACCTATTGAAAAGACCGCGATGGCGTATATCTATCTCCTAAATTGATTTTTATTTATTGAAAAACGTATCTAGGGACGCATCCGAGTAAAGCGACGGTAAATCACTAGCTTATAAAATATTTAATACTAGCATTGCCCGCGGCTCCGCCCGCGTTAATATGACCAAAACCAAATTCTTAGGTTTTATATATTAGTATACTCGTATTAGTATATTAGTTGACCCGGATAACCAGCTATTACCATACCAAATTTCTTCAAAATCCCTCCAGTGATTTTTCTGTGATGCGGTCATAGACAGAAAGACACACAAAAAATCTTAAAACTATAGGTTCGGCCTCTGTTACCGATAATAATGTGTATTTCAATAAAAAAATTAAAAAAATATTTAAAGCATAGATACTGCTTCATTAAATTTTAATGTATCTATAGATGTAACTAATTTATAAAGCCAAAAAGATTGTTCTTTGATAATTTAAACACGGGTGGGGCCGCAGGTAATTTAGTAGTAATTCTAATAAAATCATAGTAATTTTGGAATTAAAACTACGTATTTTGAAGACACATGGCGACATCTATTGACAAATCTCTAAATAATCCAAAAATTAATTTTATTAAAATATTTTTTTTAATGAATAAAATAGTGCTGTGCTATTGATATACTTTTCAAGATTAGCTATTTTTAATAGTTTTTGACATATTTAGTAAGTTAACTTGCTAAAATCTATATAATATCATCGTTTTTTATTCTAACCCGTTTTTGTATTTTTTCTCAGAAATGAGATATTTTTCTGCGGTAAAAGTATCCTATATGTTGACCCGGATAATCAGCTATGACCATACCAATTTCATCAAAATCCGTCCAGTAGTTTTTCTGTGATGCTGTAACAGACAGACAGACAGACAGACAAAAATTCTAAAAACTATAGATTCGGCCTCTGTATCGATAATAATGTCTATTTCAATAAGATTTTCTAAAAAATATTTAATGTACAGATTTGACTTAGAATTTTATTATATGTATAGTTTACTATGTACAAACAATATAAACTTACTCACTACTTTTTTATGAAACATTTCATGGCGTAGAACTTGTACAAAATAGTATCTTTAAAACTGTTATTTTAAAAAATTTAAAATTTAAAATATATCACCGCTAAAATAAATCTGTCAGGCGCCAGTTGCCTTTAATTTTTGAGAGAATGAAAAATTAAAAAATGTCAATGTGCTTACTAAATACTATGTAACTTTATGGCGGCTTATACTTTATGGTGGATTTATCTATGCCCTGATTCCTGAAAGCTGACTGAAACTTCAAATTAAACTTTTTAGTTTTTTTACTGTAGTCTTGGAAATGTCAAATTGTATGTTGATCGTTGTACAATTCAGATAACGAGCAAATAATTAATTAATTTCTTACATATAAAATAGTATTCTCATTTCTATCTATTTAAAATTAATCTTCAGATTTGAGGTATTTATTTAATATATATAATTTTTGCCTACATTAATAGAATCCGAAAATTTGAAGGCATAATGCTTTAACAATAAAAAGCTGTATTATATTATATACCAAACTTATATTTCGTTCATACTGAGATTATTAAGTACCTATTGAATGTTATTAATTTTTAATATTATCAATACAATTTTTTTTTCTTTCAGTATGTAATAATGTCTAATAAAATGTTTACCAAAACTAATAAGGTGCAATTTCAGGACCAACAGTTAGATGATTATGTTCTTGAGGTAGGACGTGAGGAGGATAGAATTATCAATGCATTTGTGTAGTTAAAATATTTTACAGTTAGTAACTTATGTTTTTTATGTTTATAGAATTCAGTTCTTAAGAGTAAATTACAAAGTAAAATTGATGCCTTATCAATTATGGGCAAAGAATTGGACAAATGTAGTATGGAAAGGGATAGATATAAGATATTAGTAGAACAATTAAAATGCAAAAAGAATTTACAAGATAAAACCAATAACTGGGATGGGTTTACACCGACTAATACTATAAGTGGTAGTGAAATATTGGCAAGAATAAAAGAGCATAATAATATGCTAAAATTAGAGGTGATTTATTTTTTCTTATTTTTTCTAATATAATAATTATGAATAAAATTTTATTTGCTTACATTTTATTTGCAAATTATTTTAGGTGGAAACATTAAAAAGTAAACTGGAGGAAGCGAATGATGACATAGATGCATTAAGAAAACAAATGCAAAAGGAACAAAGCTTTGAAGAATATAATGGAAATAAAAAATTGTCTCAAACTTCTAAAGTAGATTATGAACAAATGCTACATGAACTTGAAAAAATTCAAAAAAAGGTTTGTTATTATAGTGCTTGTTTTTAGGCATTTATTGCATTTAAAATACATCTTTTTTATTGAATTAGAACTTTTCCATTTTCATTAAAATAGATATTCTGTTACACAAATTGTATATTTGGAGGATTTTAATAAGTTTTTGACTTTCTATACAGTACCAACAAATTCAACTGGACTATAGAGCTACTTTAGATGAGAAAGAAGAATTGGTATCAGACCGGGACTATTACAAGAGTAAAGTTCAACGTTTGAATCATCAAATTAGTTACATCCTGTCCAACAGAGTGAAATCACAAATGGAAGAAATTGATCCTCCAAAACCCTATGTTGATATAGATGCATTGTTGACTGAAAATAAATACTTACATGAAAGAATAACTCAATTGCTAGTTGAAAAGGAAATTATAAAGAGAACTTTAACTAAGTATAAGGTAATTTCAATAGATCTAAAAATTATTTCAAATATTGCACTACCTGATGGCCTGTCGCTGGTTCCTTGGGAAAGGGGACGGCCCCTATTGTGGGACGCTACATGCGTTGACACATTGGCCCCGTCCCATGTGAGGGAGACCGCATCTAAAGTGGGAGCTGCGGCGGAGAAGGCTGAACTACTTAAGTTGCGTAAATACACCTCCCTTAGTCAAAATTATGTTTTTATTCCATTTACTGTAGAAACCCTTGGCCCATGGAGTCAAAGTGCTAAGCTCTTCTTAAAAGACATAACACCCCGTCTTATCACCTCTACTGGTGACAGGAGGGCTTGCGCATTTTTCGCCCAAAGAATCGGCATTGCCATTCAACGGGGGAATGCGGCTAGCATTCTTGCCACTATTCCACGCGGACATGACATGTACAGTAATAACTAAGTGTACATATGTTTTGTATATATAATTAAGTATATTTGTAATTTTCTATTATAATTAATTTCAATATTTGCGTTTCTTTTCATCTTTTTTATGCATTATTGTTTCAGACCTTGCTGGATAATAGAAGTAAAAATGATCCATTAAATATTAAGAAAGGATTTTTAGATGTGATGACTCAAAAACAAGGTAAATAATAATATTTTGGAATATTTTAACTGTTTATTTCACAAGAAATAAATAAATATTCATTTTGTTTGTTATTTTTCGCTACAAATATTGTAATTTATTTAAGTATTAAGTATGTATGTGAGTCACAACTTATCTTCAAGTAAATATTGCATTTGACTTTTTTAGTTCGAGAGTTCTTAGATATAAACTCTAAAACTGGATTTAAGAGAAGTTCAGCAGCAGAATTGAAATCATTATGTCTTGGTTTGTTTGAAGCATTAAATGACAAATCAATTGCTCTTCAACATCAAAGGAAAACAAATCAGTAAGTTAGTTTTGGTTTTAATATATATGTACATTGTACTTATTAAAAAATATAAAATACTAGCGGCTCACGCTCGCTTCGCTCGAGTTCGTACCTAGGTACGTTTCAACGATTATTTAATAGATATATTATTAATATGATATATGAGCCTTCCTAAATAAAAGAGCTATCTAATGCAAAAATAATTTTTCAAAACGGATTAGTAGTTCCTGAAATTAGCGCGTTCAAAGAATCAATCGATCGATCGATCAGTCGTACGATCAGTCGATCTACCAATCGGTCGATAAATCGGACGTTCAATCGGTCAATCAGTCGGTCGATCAATTGGTCGATCAATCTATCGATCAGTCCATCGAAAAATCTATCGATCAATATATCGATCAAACGAACAAACAAACAAATAAACAAACAAACTCTGCCTCTTTATTATATATTTTAGTATAGATTTATGTACCACTAGCAGAACCCGCGGCTTTGCTCGCGCTACAACTACAAAAAACCTCTTTGGCTTTATACTATTAGTAATTATTTGATGGCTGTAATGGTTAAGGAATTCCACAGGATAATGAACTGATTCATTCATTTGTATCACTGTATCGTCAAACTGATATTCTATTTCTGACTCTTCAAAATACTTTAGCAGGACACACTCTAGATAAGGTTCTGTTTCCCGTCTCTTATAGCTGTCACTGCTATTGCCAGCCGAGTAGTTACACATAAGTTTTCTTTGAATTTGAAATAATCTCTGTTCTCTATTCTATATAGTAAGTGTGCACTTTCGGAGAACTTGAGCTATTTATTCTGTTTAAATATATTCCGTACGGCCTACGGGGATTTCAACTCGGGTGAGATTGAGCGGGAGTTTAAACGCAGCGTAAGCAGTTTTACCACCTTCTAAAAGTGTAGTAGCACTTCAAGATGAGGGCACGGTCCACAGCTACTTCCAACCCCCTATTAGCCAAACGCATTTTTTATTTAAAAAAAAACTTTTTCTAAGTATTTAACTGTTTCGTTAATTAAGCGTCAATATCATTAATGCTGATTTTTAAGTCATCTCGACCCTGATATATAATTAATATTTTTACCCTCTCAGGGGATGAATTTCGAATAATTTGATTGATAACACGTATTGCTTATTTTTTATCTTGAATCTACTTAATTAAATTTTATCTACTTAATTTCAACAATAAAAATGGCGGATTTTCTTACCAACTTTACCCATTTACGGGATGAATTACAAAAATGTTATTAGTAACACGAGTTTAATTGAATTGAACATCATTAATATCAAGGTTTATAGAAACTTTCATTCCAAATTTTCCGTAGGGGATGAATTTCCAAAAAATCTCCTCTTAGTGCACACTTGCGTCATTTAAGGTGCAAAACTTCATGCTTCTAGACCCAGCGGTTTCAGCTGTGTGTTAAAAAAAATATAATCAATTTTTGTTTCCAAACTATTACTTTTAACAATCGAAATCTTTACATAGTATAAAATGAAGTTACTTCACTGTCTGTTCGCTTAATCTTTTACTACTCAACGGAAGTTTTATATGTTAATACATGCATATATTATATATATATGAAGGTTACTACATGCATATTATAGCACAGAAAAGCCGTGAAATTCAAAGATTTATATTTCATACTAACCGTTCAAACGAACCTAGGGACGGACCCGAGCGAAGCGAGGGTCAGTCGCTATTTATAAATATAATGTAACTCGGTTCTTGATATGAATGTATTGTACAATTATAATATTAAAGTGTCCATAACAAAGAAAAAAACATACTTGTACATATAAGATCACAATTAATATGATATTTCAAAATTTGTAGGATATTAGCCAATCGGATAACAGAATTGGAAAAAACGTTAGAGAGTTGGTGCAGTGGTCAAAAATGTATACCTACATTTCCATCACAAATGTTAATTGAGGAGCTTTTGAATGATTCGGGATCTGTTAAATCAGATGAAATTAAGGAGAAATTGGATACCAATTATACAAATAAAATTACATATACTGATAGTGATGAAGAAATAAATAAGAGTAAGGAGGATTTGTCAGATGTTAACTATGAAGATGTTAATGAAGATAGGAGTTTGTCTTCCAAAATAGTTCTACCTCAAGACTTACAAGAGTTAGTTAAAGAAGCTCTCGCTGAATTGAAATCTACTCAATAATATTGTTTATGTAAATTAAAATTATAGGAAGTTACTAAAACCATTACAATTATTTTTATAATCTAAATTCTATTAGATAAATTTTTATTTTTCATACTTTTTTAGTTATGTTTGTCACAAACACATTTTAAATAAAATTATCTTTTTAACGTGAAAATAAATCCGCGAAAAAATCAGAAAAGATAGTTTTATTTAAAAATGTCACTTGTAAATGTCAAATATGTGTAAATCTAAAAAAAATATTTCAGAAAAAATAATTTATAGGTTATAATTTACATATTTACAATTTTACTTTTGTTTATGTTATTAAATAAATATGTTGTATTTTAGATGAAGCTAAATAATATATTTAAATCTCATATTTACCAAAGATTGTTGCAACTATTCTAGTCCAATTACTTAATAATGTTGTGTCTATAATGTACAAATTAACATTCCATTAAAATTAAAACAAATCATGTATACATTCAGTCTTTTATTTATTAAAAAAATATAACATTTAATAAGATAAGACAATAAATATTTGTCCCATATACAAACGGGTACCTGTTTTTACATATTTCTATGAAAATACATTATTTTATGACCTTTGATCTAAACCAGATAGTGAGTTAAAATGGTTAAAATACATTAATGTAATATATCCATATATTGCTTAATTTAACACAACACAATAAATATTGGTTATTTTTTAAATTTTTCAATGATTTATCTAGACATGAGATTACCATTACAGGTTATCTAAATTAATTACACAATATTCTATCGTATGTGGCATGTCCAATGTATTTTATAAGTTAAAGATTAGTTACTTTCAACATTTCATATTAAATAATTATAAAAATAGTTTCAAAATCTAACCTGCTTAAGAATTAAAGTTAATTCATTCAATACAATAGATTATCATAATTTCGTTTCGATATGAGCATATTGCATATCTCTACAATACTAACATTAATTAAATAAAGCGTATGTATAATATAAGCTAATTGCAATAATAATAAGTTATTTCTTACATGAAATACAACTTCAACAAAATATATGAAATGCACTAAAACAGACATAAAAGCATTTAAAATATAAAATATTACACACTTTCGCGATAAGCTAAGCATTCATTTTGGTATATAACTTATGTTAATTTTTGACATGTTTATCTTATTTTTGTATGATCATTACATAATATAATGTATTACGAGAACTACAATATACTATGGTACTATACATATACTATACTTTTTAGATATTATTTCGGTTATTATTGTTTGAAGTGGCTCATGCTTATAGAACAACCACTAAAATATTTACTAATACAACTTTATACATAGCCCTATATTACTAATTCAACCTTAGCACCGCCCATGGGCGCTGTAAGAAATGCCGAACTATTATCGAAATTGTACATAAAATGGATAAAGTTTTGATAAAGTTATTTTTTTATTAATTATTAACTTTTGAAAAATGCAATAACATAATTTCTAAATGTTTACAATCTTTAGAAAAATGTTTTTATTAATTATTATATTTATTTGTTTTGAAAGTAAAAAACACGTTTTCGATAACGCGAAGTTTTTTTTATCCTTCGAATTTTGCCGCCCTGGGCACTAACCCCGAGTGCTCTTAGTGTAAATCCAGCGCTAGTAATATAGCAACTTATAGTCAAGAATATTACTCAGTAGCTCATCTGGCCAGGTAGTAGGTTACATTATTCCTCATAGAACATAGAAAGGAAATTAAATTTCGAAGGAGTTTCTGGAAATAGGACGAGATTAGCTCCGTAATCTTACAACAACAACGTCAAGAGAAATCTACTTATTTCCGTTGTTAACTAATAAAAGCTTTATTGAAAATTATACAAAATTTTAAATTACCAATTGTAAAATACCATATACAATGCAATGATTTATTATGTAATCGAATAATCGTATGATGCATTAAAAATGTCGGCACTCTCATTTTCGTCACGTAAGATTTTTGCATCCATTGCATTCCAGAATTTACATAATGTGTTTGTGGTGTCTCTAAATGAATATACTAAGTCAATAAAGTTTGACATTAAATAAATATGTTATATGTCCGCGACATACATATCTCGTTCTTTCGTAGCGAAAAAAATCGTTGCCTCAAATGTTTATATCTTTGTATTTTCTAGTAGCACTACATTCTACTAATACTTAGAGTCGTTTAACGAAGCCTAAGTCCAGACAAGCAAATCACGCGGAGTGAGGTGCGCCTCAGTCCTCACACCTGACTGTCATACTTACTTTTATATGACAGTTCGGAAACGTTAATAGGGTTGACGACGGGTATATGAACTGGGACTGTATGAAGTTTTATACTGAGTTATTTAAGTATATTTATAATAATAGGTCTATACAGCAAGGTATTACCCAAGCGTGGTGTAGTGGTGCACAAGCAAGGCGAAGTGTTGGGAGAGCGCAATAAACCCGTCTATCGACGCCCGCGTCATACTTAAGAAAGAGCCCTATTGACAGTACGTTAAGGTCCACGTTGCAATGTATTACAATAGCATGGTGTAATGTTGTACGAGCTCGGCGGAGTGTCGGGAGAGCGCACAACGCATGCGGTGTACTTAATAAAAAGCCTTATTGACAGTAGGTTAAGATTCACATTGCATTGCGTTACCCCAGGTCCACATTGCATTGCATTACCCCAGCGTGGTGTAGTGGTGCACGAGCACGGCGGAGTGGTGCGAGAGCGCGGCGTGCGGCGCGCGCAGGCGGGCGGCGGCGGCGGCGGCGCCGGCCAGGCGCGCCAGCAGCGGCCGGTGCGCGCGCTCGCCGTAGCGCTCGTACGCCTCCAGCCCCTCCTGCAGCTTCAGGATCAGGCTATCGTAGTTCTTGCGCACTACTTCTAGGATCTGTGAGGTATTTGTTACTTATACGTTACATAGTTATCTTATATATCCATACTAATATTATAAAGAGGTAAAGTTTGTGACGTTGTAGTCGGTAATCTCTGGAGCTACTGAACCGATTTAGATGAAATTTGGTAAGAAGATAGTTTGAGATAGTGGGAAGAACATAGATAATTTTTATCCCGGAAATCATCCCTTAAGGGGGTGAAAATAGGGATGAAAGTTTATATTGGGAATCAAGCTAGTCTTATATACATATTTATATACTTGCAATGTAGCAAGATACTAACCACATCTATACAGGTAAATAGAATTGAAGTGTCCGTTTGTAATGTCAAAATAACAGCTTTTTACTAAATGCATATGGAATTATATACGGTACTTATAAGAAAACATAATTTCTAAAATTTTGTTTGTCTATCTGTTTGTTCCGGTTAATCTCCGAAATGGCTGGACTGATATTGACGAGACTTTCACTGGTAGATAGCTGATTTTATAAGGAGTAACTTGGCTACTTTTATATTAGAAAAAGAATTAGGGTACCGCTCAAAAAAATTAAAACGTACCTAGGACGCACCAAAAAATTCGTAAAAAAGAAAAAATTTCAACAACAACGGAAGCACTAGATGATTTATTATATAAATTCGTACAATTTTAAAAAATATTTTAAAATCTTTAAATATTTAATTATGAATGTATCTATATTTAAACATATTATACCTGATCTTCGCTGGGCGTGGAAAGGTTCTGTGAGGCGAGCCAGGCATCGATTTTGGGAGAAAAATGTTGTATGATGGCACGGACATTGACTAAGCAGTTCGCTAGTCGGAGCGCCTCCGCTTTGTATTCTCCGTCTCCGGTGGAATAGCGGAGAGCTTAAATTTGAAATTATTTCATATTAAAACACTAAATATAATATTAACGACTTTAAAATTATTGGTTTAACTAAAAACATCACCAACATCATCACTTATTAATATCTATCTTCATTTTAAAGACTAGAAATATCCTCACTGTTCAAAATTTTTCTTTCACTTTTCAGTTACATGCATAGAATACCACCACCATTTTTACTTTTTTTTGTATACAGTATTACCTCAATATGGCTCTAATAGTCTTCGAGTAAAATCAGTGTAACATATTGACAGACGAACATGACAATCAAAATATAAGGGTCGAATTTTTGGCTACTGCATGGGAAATCTGGGAACCGTTTAAAGTATTGATTTACTTCCTCACTGCGCAATTAGAAATTATAGTATAAACAAATAATTATACTATTTTTGAAATTGACGATATTTTTGACATGCTTCGTTTATTTTAGGATCAGTCCGAAGGTTTAGAATACGTACCCATAAAAAATAAGTTGTCAAACACTTGATGCATCCTTATTAGCTCGTAGTAGAGCTGGTCGTAGGAGGCCGGAGTGGGCAGGAACGTGTCACCGAATGTGATGAACAGGTTGAAGATATTTACTACCTGCAGTGACATAAATATTTATTTAACGGTTAGTATGAAGTAGATAGAACATGATGAACTTTCCCGTGGGAATGAAATAATCTCCCGCAGTAAAAAGTAGCATATGTCTCTCTCCAGCCCTTCAACTAACAACATACAAAAAATCACGCCAATCCGTCACACTGTTTCGACGTAAAAAAAGGACAAATAAAGTCAAACCATATCGTAGAAAGAGAAAGTGTCAAATCTACAAGTGCATTCAAGTATTTTATATTTATTTTTAGATTCATAATTATAAATTAGTAGTAAGGAAAAAGAAAAATGAGATTTTTATGTTTTTCCGTGATATTTTCCAATTTATCTCTTCGTGAGAACATTCCTCGGAATTCAACGAATATTGGAAAGAAAATAGTCGAAACGATCCCGCCTTTCTCGAGTTTTACGATTAGCAACACATTTAGCCATTCATTTTTATTTATATATTTATTTTTTTAGATAATATACTAAATCGAATGTGAAATCTCATACTTAATTATGGTCACTTCTTGGATTAACACAAAGTATATCTTTTACTTAAATGATTTCCACTTTACCAAGGAGAGAGTTAAATAGTATTTTATATTTACATCTTATCGGTGGTCACCCATCAATCTGGTACCGCTGTTGAAGTAGCTTAACGTACCTGTTGGGCCATAATGAATATGTTATGCCTCCTCAGCAGGACAGTTTCGTTGGTAACTAGGAACTTGAGTAAAGCTATGAGCGCCGCCCACAGAGGGCGCCAGTCGCGGGCCAGTCGCACTCGGCAACGCTTCTGGTAACTTAGCAGCCGTAATAATACCCCCACACATAAGGAATATAGCTCGCCGGGAAACTTCTTCAACAGGTGGCACATAATGAACTCGACTAGAAGATCTGGAAGTTGTGTTTGGTTATTAGGAAGGTTAAGCAACGTTACCAGTAGGATCTTATTTGGATGGGTGACCGGTTTGGTGTAACCATTGGACTCATTTATTTTGTTATTAAATTCCTCGTTATTATTTGATACTTAGCTCAGTGAGTGAATAAAACTAAAAAAAAAAACATCAACTAAACTTTATTGATTAGAGAATTGATAAGCTACGTTATTAAATTATTACTGCATATAAACTTTAGTTAAACTTACCAATGAGAGTTGAAGCTAGCGGTTGTGACGGTGGTTCTTCCGGTAGTATTTTCCTATGACGCATTGGCAGCCTATATAATTGAACCTATAAATATAAAATTCGTTTTAACACAATATTATTATTGCTTTTTCAGCGTGAAAAGTAACAAATATAGACGCTTACATACACTCGCTATATATACGCATATAGTTCGTACACACACAAACTTTCCCATTTATATTAATAGCGTGATAAAATAAATATTTATTACCTACTACATTTTTTTTTCGTTGGGAAATGCATTTACGCACGAGGTGTGGGACTCACCGGCGTAATACAGCCAGTACTACCCACTAAAACCCAACAAAACCTTCCCCCGTCTTAATGGGGCGTCGCAGGATCGCTTACGCATTCAACTACGACGCCCCGACGGCAGGTCTGCCTACGCAGACCATCACAACCATGGGGTTGCTCCACAGTCCACTCTGCTATCAGAGAAGTACCAGGAGCAACCCGCATGGTACACCGCCCCCCGAAGAGGGCCGCCTCCCACCGCCCACCGAAGTGGGCAACCTCCCTGTGCGTTTCTTAGCTTCGCGCCCGGTTGAAGTGCCGGGCACTACTGAGCCCCCCCACCACGAACGTGTTAATCACCTATATTGAGTAAGAAATTCTAAAAAATATGTTCAAATAATATATTATGTACCTTAAAAGTAAGATTTTGATCGTGCATTATAGAGTTGGCAAACTGCTCCTCCACGATACAAGTTAGAGTAATGAAACATAGACTGCACTTGTTTATACTTGTTTCTGTCCGTGTGTCCGCCATTACTATGGAACTGAAAAGTAAAATATACGATTAATAATAATGACTCCCTAATTTAGAATAGCTATGTGCACTGGACATATTATAGTGAACATTTGTGTAGAGCATACTATTTCATAACCAAAAATCTATACTGTTTTTTTTGTTACAAATTGTCCAGTAGCAATTTAATTGTAAAATTAATAATAATTAAAAGCAATAAAATTTGAGTGCCTTAAAATATTCGTGATTAACAGCACATAATATGTAGTAAGCGTGTATGTCAACAAAATAAATTAAAATTCAATTCAATTTTCTTGTTAGCATTGAAGCTTGACAGTAGAACAAAGATTACTTTGGCAATGTCACATAAACTGGCAAAGCTTCTATCTACAGCTAAAGCAAACTTACCAATATTGAAAGAATGTGACTAATAAATTTGTTGGTTGTTCGTTGTCCAGCGCTTGAATCTGCGCTAAATTTGGAGGACTCTGGAATAATGAACATAATAAAAATTCAATGGCCTTGTTGTCAGTTAGAATTTAAGGAAAGACAAAGCGTATTTATTAATTTAACACGTTTTTGTACTTGTTGACTAGACTCATAGTGCCGATCACAGTCCGTTCTCAGTCTGATATCGTTCTTGTAAAGTATTGTATTGTAAGTGCATTCACACTATCAGTAAGACTCACGTTCAGGTCAAATCAGGCTTCAGCAACGTCTTGTATAGTATTACTTTACCAGACTGATATCGGACCGAGAACAGACTGTGATCGGCACTATAGTGTAGAGCGGCTCTAAGGTCCTGGTACCCACCTGGTGCGGTGGCAGCGTGGCGGGCGGAGAGGGCGGCGCGGAGGACGCAGCGGCGGACGAGGAGTGCGCCAGCGTCGTCATGAAGTTTCTGTTCAGGTGTGCCGCCTCGTACAACGCTAGCAGCATTCCTTCTTCACCGCCACTATAATATTAACAATTTAAATGTATCTTTTTGAATTTTGTGCATTCAGCCCTTTTTAACGTCCCACTGCTGGGCACGGGCCTCCCTTCAATACTAGGGGAATCAGGCCATAGTCTACCACGCTGGCCAAGTGCGGGTTGGCGGACTTCCCGTCTTTTGAAAATTTACTAGGTTCTCTCACACATGCAGGTTCGCCTACGATGTTTTCCTTCGCCGTTAAGACAAGTGGTAATCATGTTGGAAATGATTCGCATATGAAAATATCAGAGGTGCGACACCCGGGATTTGAACCCGCTTCACTCGGTTACCTAAGCAAGTGAATTTTGTCACAGTTTAATTTTGAGTTTTCGCTTCCGATTTTTGCATTTTGAATCTTGAGCTTCCTATTTGTTTATTTGCCATTTTTGCATAATAATGTAGCATTACAAGGCTTATTTTACACCTCTGTAATTTCCAATGTTGTAAGTATTTTGGTACTTAAATTCAAGATTATATTTTGTTATTTATATATTTTTCTAACACATAAAAAATTGCTAATGCAGAAAGTTAATTAAAAATATGTTTTTAAAAATTCTTAGTAAGAAATATTTTTCTTATTAATCTAATTTTACAATGAAGCCATACCTATTTCTTTGTCCACGCACAACCGGCTGGGTCTCATCACTGGTAAGAAATATTCCACCCACCATACTTGTAAGGGAGGAGAGCCAGCCGCCACCACTTGCTTGCATGCCACCAAATGTTGACATTACAAAATCATTTAATGCTGCTGTTATCACTTGGCCATAGCTGAAAAATAAACAATACGCATACTATGAATATTTTTCTCAATTACCTACTAAGTTATAACTTCATTCTAGTGTATTCTTGTATTATAGTAAAATATTTATATATAGAAAATCCATTACCGTTACATAAAAATAGCAAATTGAATAGCAGATATGATAAATATATGAAATTTTAAATATGCAATAAACATTTAACATTAACTAAATACTAACAGTTAAGAGCTCTTACCCATTCAAAGCTAATTCATCATCAAGTATAGATAGTTTCACCACATAGGGATTAGCAGATTCTTGTTTTTTATAGTTAACTAAGAACATCAGAAGTAGAACAACATCATAACCTAAACATAGAGAAAATGATTTAGTATTGGTACTGTGAATAAATACTACGATATATTATTTGAACTGTAAAAAATATCAAAGTAGGTATCATATATCAGGGTACACCCAGATGTGAGGAATCAAAAAACGTACATAATAAAAAAACAAAATAATGATGTTACTTCTTGGAAAACCTGTAGAAAGTATTTGAATATAATATAAAGGCTATATTTTTATCTTCAAAACTTGTGACAAGCTACAGAAGCCATTGGAGGAAAGTTAGCCTGTGATAATAGCATTTTAATTTTTAAATAATATCAGAATGATACATTTGTCACCTAAAAAAAATACAATGATTAAAAATATGAATTTTAATGAATTTACCATGTTGTTGCCTTTCAGTAGATGTACAGAGCAACTGAATGAGAGGTTCAAACAGTGAATGTAGCATTAAATATTCAACAAGTGGGTTTTCATCTATATTTTCAAACCCAGTTGCTATAATTAAAAGCAACTTCAAAACCATTGATTTTAAGCTGTCTGGAACGTCACCTATAATAGAGAAATAAGAATAGATTATTGAAACATAATAACAAAGCTTTTGTACAGTCTTTGTAAGTTAAGTAATTATACCTGATAACACTGTGCTACAATGCTCTAATAGCTTTTGCATTTTTATATTGGCTTTATCTGTTCCCAATAATATAGATTTTATATTTACTGTTGGATCTTGTCCTGCTCTTTGGTACATAGTAGTCAAAATTGCACTGAAGGTTTGCAACGCATACACCAATCTGCAATTTTATACATTTTTTATGAATTGATATAACAAATTATTCTTACTATTAAAATAAAACATTTTTGAACATTACCTGATGTGATGTTCCTGTCCTAACATTTCTATACATTGTATAACCAATAAATTAATGTTATCCTTTAAATTATTTAATTGTTCAACACTTAACTTATGTATTTCAGCTTCTAATTGGGGTATTTTTGGTTTTAATAGAAAAAATTCATCCCAAAATGTAGGGTTATTACTTGTCAAATCTTCTCCTTTAAAAAATGATTCATATATCTGCACAACTTTCTCCTTTAGGTGCCTTTTAGATCCAGAACCACTTCTCTTTCGAGTAGCCATAGTTTTTTGACTTTAGATGAAATTAAAATTGTTTATTTATTTAAGAATAAATGTAATAGATTATTGTACACGTAATTATAATTGTGTTGTATAAAGGTATCTTAGAATGCTTAATACACTTAAATGACCATATTCAACAATTTACAATATTTTTAGTTAAAAATGGAAAATTCATCAAATAGATGGATTTAGAATTATAAAATTGAAAGACCGACTGTAAAACGTCATCTGTCACTTGTCGTTAGTGTCTTTTGCTTCGACAAGACATGTCATGAACACGACATTTCGCTAAAGATAGTTTTATTTATCTGTGGTATGTAACTGTGATTTTTTATTTTCTGTGCAATCTATCCATAGGTTTTGTTATGTTTATTATTCTCTATTACTCTGTGAATTCACTGAATTATATTATCTATGATACAACTTACAAGGGATTCCATCTTATTTTTACTGAATCCATTTTAATATTAAAACATCTTGTTTTGAAAAATAAATTCATTTGAACGCTAGAAAATGAAATCCAAAAAGCGTCATCATGATAGTTCCGATGAATCTGAAGAGTCGGATGCTAGTGTAAAATCCAGCAGTTCGTCTGAAAGTGATAGTGACGATTCTTCAATATCTGAAGCCCGGCATAAGAAAAAAAGAAAACGTGCCGATTCCTCAGATTCAGACAGTAATACAGATGATCAAAGACGTGCCAAAAAACGTAAGCATAAGAAAAAGAAGAAGAAGCATACTAAGAAAAAAAGACGATCGGAATCATACGAAGACGTATCGGATGATGCTATATCAATAAGTGAAGGCGAAATATCTCCTAAAAAACGAAGGAAGCACAAACATAAGCATTCTAAGCGAACTCAATCCGGTAGTGAAGGTAATTATATGTAAAGATTACATTATTTAAAAAAAAAATTATAATATGCACAATTATGCAAAATATTTTATGGTATAGATGGGGAGTATGAAAAACATTCGGACCGTCGCTTGCATAGTGTGGTTAAAGAACGTAGAACATCTTCAGAGGAAGGCAATCCACCATCTCGTACTTATTATCAGTAAGTTATTACATTTTTTTTTGTAATTTGTACTGCGTGTATACCTTGAATTTAAATATGTTATCATTGTTAATAAGAACCAAATAACATTAACTTCGTTGCAGTTATCTTTAATTTTTAAATTAAAAAGAATAATATATCTGTTGAATAAATTTTAGGAAGGAGTACCACCGTTCAGGATCAGTTGAAGAATATGACCATGGCAGAGAGGGTCACAAATATTACCAAGAACCAAGTAGACGGCATCATGAACACCAAGACAGTTATAATTATGAACGAGGAAGAAATGACAGGTACTCTTTAACCAATGTTTAAACATATTATATGGTTTAATAAACATAGTATTATCACCAGACAGAAATTCATGCATATTCTTTTTGCTACTTATAATAATATATATCTTTTACATTAAATAGCATAAATTATAAAATTTGTAGATATCCACAACAAGAAGATAGGTATGATAGACAAAGGGATAAGTATGCTTCTAATGCACATTTTGTTCCTAATGAGGAAGGGTATAGTGGGAGGCAAAGAGAATATGAAGAATATAAGAGGTATATATTCTGAGATAATATTATTTTTATTTACAATTATATTTTTTATTGTTGAGTTGTACTTTAGAATAATTTTAAAAATTAAATTTTTCCTCTTATGCATATTTTATATATATTAAATATATAAAATATTAATCAGACACCCCAGGTATGAAGAACATTTGAGGGGAGAAGACCATTACAGACGAGATAGGGAGGTGCCATATCAACCTAGAGAAGATACTAGAGGTCAGTTATACTTTACTGGGATTATTTCATAAGTTGTGGAGTAAAATATTAATCTTGAACTGAAATTTTTCTATGCTTATACATATTATAACATCTTATAAAGTAAGAATTTGCATTTTGTTCATAAATATATTATAAAATTAAAACTTATAATTTAGCTAGTAAAGCTTATTGTATCCACCTAGCATTGTAATTTGTAAGTTGTAATATTATAGGTAAGTATCAAATAACATTCATTGCAATTATTATATTTTATGTGTTTAAATAAATGTATGTAATTGAGTTATTAATATGATTATTACTATTCAAAATTGAATTACAAAATTCTTTTGTGCTGTTACTGCAAATTTTTATGCTTGCGAAATCTCATTAAAATATCATTAATACTGCTTTTGAACAATCTTGGAATGTTTGGCCATTATATTTATGTAGAGCCTAGGCGAATCTTCTTATACATATAAAATAAAGTCATGTTTGTTACACCATTTATAACTCGAGAATGGCTGGACCGATTCTTATGATCATGGATTTGTTGGCTTTCTCTCCACCCTGAAGAGCATTAAATAACTATTGAAACATCAGAAAAATTCACGAAAAAAAATTGAAATTTGTATGGTTAACGTTGGCTAATAACTATTTATATCTATTTAAAACATACTTAAGGACGAATTCGAGCGAAGAGCGGTTGTGCCGCTAGTATACTATACGTACAAAAGGTTCCTTCAGATATTTTTGTGTGGATTTTTAATAATGTGTTCCACTCACAAAATCTCGATATTAATTGTTTTTAAGTTAACATGTTATTGATCAATGTTTATCTTTTTGTTTATTTCTATCGCGCGATATTTGATTCGATGTGACCACTATGCAGTATGTCATTTGTTTGTTTTTTTATTTGAACTAAATAAAAATATTAAGCGTGTGCATTGTTTGATTATTGTTGTGTAATTTTTAGGCACTAACAGATATAATCGGTATGAGGATAGGGCTCCGAAACGTCGAGAATTTGAAGACGGAAGAGATTATCGCGAAAGGTACTGTATTTCTATATAATATTTTTGAATCATGTATATATAATTATATTTGATTGATGACACGCTTGGCTCTGTTTGTGGTGACCCTACTTGCTGAGCCAGTGGTCGCGGGTTCGAGTTCCGCTAGGTTCATTAATTTGTGTGATGAGCATGAATGTTTGTACTCCAGTCATGAGTGTTTATATTTATAATATGTATGCATTTAAAGTTATATATTATATTTGTAGTGTATCAACTATCTGGTATCCATAACAAAAGCCTCGTAGCTTACCATGGAACTAGATGGTGCTGTGTGTTAATGTCCCAACATGTATATGATTAATAATAATATTTACTCAACTTATAGATTTCATTCATATTAGTCCGGTCAAAATAGATATTTCAACCACTAAACACCTTCACCTTTTAGAATTGCGATATCTTGGGTATTATGATTGTTAGAGAAAAAAATATTAGGACAATTTTTGTAGATAAATTGTATGATCTACAATTTTTGTCTGAACTATATTTTTGATAAAACTTACAGTTTTCGAGAAAAATCCTAAAAACCAACAATTTTGACTTTTGATCTTGAATAACTTTTTTAACACAAATGGCATAGATGGGGACTTTTGGCACTTTATTTCTACTGGTGTACCCAAGGCCTCTAGAAAAATTCAGCTGTTGGAATTTTTGTCATTTGATCACTATTTTAATGTCTAATCACTTTAAAAGTAATTAATGCATTCTCAAGGGTGGATATATTTTGTAATAAAATTGAGGTGTAATTTATTTTCATGATTCTTTGATCACGAAAATCGGTTCACAGTTAGCAAGGACATTGCGACAATTGTTATTCAGTTATTACATAAATGAAAGCTAAGATGTTAAGTGATTATTAACATAATATTTATTTCAATTGTATTGATTAAATTTTATCTTAAAACTTAAATTAAAAATAACACATACTTAAAAATAAAAAGCTATATAATATGTTATAATATTATTTAAACAAATTAACTTTATTTGTAGACGCGGTCCAGCCGAGCCTGACCGATATCGAGACAAGGAGTTCGAGAAGAGGGAAAGATTTTCACCAGAAAGGTACATTAGTTACTTTATAAACAACACATTAGTTAAGTCACTATTAAATAAACGTTTGAAAATATAACTAACAAAATCGTTAGGGGTTATTACTAGCTTTTATAATAAAACCGTTTGTGCATGTGCCGAAGGTCGCTACGTTAAATGACTGTATTTGTTTTTACAGTGACATCTCTACAGACAATTATAATGAGTTTGGTCACAACATGTTGCAGTTGCAAAGACATTTTAATGTTTTCACCTTAAACGCTAATAATTACTCTAGGCACGTGTGAGCAGACGTACGTCTTCAGATATGTAGTTGCATTTATCATTTTGTACATTGTTTTTTTGAAGAGAACAATATAAGAGGATATAACGATGTTTGTATTATTTGATACTTTCGAAACTTTGGAAACCGTGTCTCATAGAGGAATGTGTGAATACTGATTACTATTATTTAACTATATTGTTTTGGCTGTACAACTAAATGAAACGAGCAGAAGATTTGAAATATATCAACTTTATAATTTGTTTAGAAGAATGAAATGTGGGGCCAGCAGGTGAAAGAATGTATATTTATTAGATGGAATACAGGAGGGCATTTTTAATATGAAAAATAACATATCTGTGAATAAATTTAAAAAGAAACTGAGTAAATTCTTATCTGCATGATACTTATGGACTATACATTGAAAAGAAAGGCTGAATTTTGAAATGAAAAATACAGGATTATTTTTAATATTGGAGGACAACCACACGATGTATATAAACTATGAATACGATTATATTATTTATTTATGTTACGAAGATTTGCATGATTTATATAGGATTTGCATCTTCCATAGATTTTTTTAAATACTAAAGAATATATAAACACAAGAAGAACAATCTAATTATGGGAGTGCTTTGCGATAGGAAAAAATGCAAATTGAACAATTAAGAAGGAATGATTAAATGCTAAATAAAAATTCTGACTTCTGAAATCTGCTGACCTCAGTACTGATGGAGATTATTATTATACCGACATATTGAAACTATTTTACTAGGAAATATGTCTTAAAGAAGCATTTGATGTTTGTTTCAAGATATAATTGTAAGATTTGATACAGAAATGTAACAATTATATAACTAAATAGAATAAATATGTAATAATTATATATTATATGCAATGTATGAATATTCTTCTGCTAATCCTACCTGTGTACTACATGTAATAAATGTTCGTCGTTATTTATAAGTCGTAGAATATGTATATGAATGTTCTAACCGAGATATCCACGATTGGATGAAAATCAGTAGGTATTTCCTGACTCGCCATACTTTTCAAGTGTATACAAATGGTAAGTGAACAAGGAGTGTCAAATAACTGATACATCGTGTTGGGATTTTTTTCATGTTTATAATTTAGCTAATGCCATATTTCACTTTTGTACAGCAAATCGTTACCGACATTTTTTTTGCATACAAAATGTGCATTTTTAAAAAGTATTTGAAAATAATGATATATTTTTATTAAATGTCATACTCGATATTATTCTAAATATTTATTTATTATATATTTTTAACTGAAATTTTATATCTTCTATAGTATTTATATAAGGCGAAATATGTACGGAATGAGTAAACGCTACGAAAGAATCGAGTCATGTGCTTAAGTAAATAAACTCCGATTAACACTTATGTACCTATATTTTATTATGTGGATTTTGCTTTGTAATTCTTAATGTTATAGTAATATATATTTACAAATAATGATATGTTATTATGTCAATTCCAGAGGCAGAGATGTGCGTCGCGAGAGACCGGCTAGAGTTGAGAAAGTAGCTCCTGTTCGCAGGTAAAAAGTGTTTTTCAAGAAAGTTTTGTATGACTCTCTTTCGTATCACTAAACATAACAATATTATTAAAAATATATATAAAAACAAGGTACAGTGACATCAAAATTACTTAAAATTAGTTCACATTCAGAGGTAGCATACTGTTGAGGTATTAAAATTGATTTGCCTAATCGTAATAAAGGTGAAGTAGAAAATATTTGTATAAAATTATTTCTTTGCAATTGAAGAATACACAATAGACCATTAAATATTTGGAACGCGTTTGAAATAATAATGTAACAAACATAAGATTGATACCAATAAAAAAACAGTTATACCTACTATTGTTTTTTGTCTCTGCGATTAATCAGAGATCCGTCAAGGTCCAGAAGTGAAGAGGAACGGTATAGAGAGAAGACTGAGGAGAAACGGGAACGTTCTCACCGACCGCCTGACGACAGGCGCGTGTCTGTCGACAGGCGTACAGCTGACAGGCGAGCGCCTGACGACAGGCGGCCGGATAAGAGCGATGACAGGCGGAATAAGCCTCGTGAGCGGAAGTCCAGGTAATCTATATATATATATATATATATATATATATATATATATATATATATATATTTTAATCCAAATATGGAGGGTAGAACCCTCCATAGATACAAAGTAATAATACATTGACGTGTTTTTCAAAGCGATAGAGGAAGTTTATGGCCTATTCCAGTATTCCCTTGAGATAATAATAAATAGCGTTACAAAAAGTAACAAATATTTTTACATGTAATTAATTGGCTGATTATTCAAATTTATCGCAGTCATGCTGGGCATATAATAGACGATTTAAATAGAGCGAATGTCATCTTTTTATTTTAAAAATATCTTTTGAATTAAGCATACGGTAACATAAACTAAACTTCTTTATAAGACCTTTTCGGTGGTTTTATTATAGTCTTAGATTTTTCATCTTTGGGGATGTCAATGATATTTCTCATCTCATTTTACTAAATTGTGTGATTTATTTAACCAGAATAGTCTTAAAATTATGTAATATTTTTCTCATCAGATTTGACAATGAAAACGATAAGAAAGAATACAGTTGGGGTAAAACGGATGTGAAGGATAAAGACAAGGACAAGGAGGGCGGGGACAAGGAGAAGCCGAACTTCGGTCTGTCGGGCAAGTTGACGGCAGACGCGAACACCGTCAACGGGGTCGTCATTAAGTACACGGAGCCGGATGATGCGAAGCAGCCCAAGCGGAGGTGGAGGTGAGACATGCGCTTTTCAATTGTTTTGTTTTTTGGTTGTTGCTTTGTATGTTGTGAGTTGTGGCGGCAACGCGTGATACTTAATTTTTAAATATATTATGGACATAGTTCAACGATTAGCTTTCAAACAAAAATCTGTTGGCTTTACAATTTCATAGTATACATGAGTGCGTGCATATGTGACGAATGTTTCTATATGAGCCTGGTTTGTTTACGAGACTGATATATAATTCAATCTTAATGTGTGGTAGAGTAGAGAATAAACTGTGTTTTCATGTGTAAACAAGTATTACTTTTATATTATAACACTAGCGATTTATCCTCGCTTCATTTAGGTGCGCCCCTAGGTACGTTTTATTTGTTTTAATTCTATTTTATAAAATAAAAGTAGCCTGAGTCACTTCTTATGACATCAGCTATCTGCTAGTGAAAGTCCCGTCAAATGATTTTGCCGTTTCGGAGATTAACCAAAACAGACGGACAGACAAAAAAAATGTGTTTTTCTTATGAGTACCGTACATAATTTCATATGCATTAGTAAAAAGCTATTACTTTAATATTACATACAGATACTTAAATTTTATTTATCTGTATAGTAGATTATACATTATGAATAAAAATCAATATTTTCTTACAGATTCTATCCATTCAAAGGCGACAAAGCTTTACCAATACTATACATACACCGACAGTCGTGCTTCCTCATCGGACGCGACAAGAAAGTAGTGGACATCGCGCTTGAACACCCATCCATTAGCAAGCAGCACGCAGCGTTGCAGTACCGCGCCACGCCCTTCACTCGCGCCGACGGCTCGCAGGGACGGCGTGTGCGACCTTATATCATCGATTTGGGTGAGACTAATGTGAAATTTGCTTTATGAGGTTGGATTTTTCAAAATAAATTGTTACTCTTCCATGCTGAAACGTCTGGACGGATTTGGATGAAACAGATAGACTATGAGTTGGACACGGCCATGACGTATACATATATGTAACACATAGGATACTTTTAGGCACCTATAGAGGCACCCCAGTGAACGTGGGTAAGACGTCTGCTAGTGTTATATAACATATATTACAACAACGTTAAATTGTATTCAACACTTTTTAACGTCCCACTGCTGGGCACGGGTCTCCCAATACGCTGGCCAAGTGTGAGTCGACGTCTGAACATGTCTTTCGAAAACTTGCTAGGTTTTCTCAGACATGTTTTCCTTCTCCATAAGGCAAGTGTTAATCATGTTAGATATGATTCGCACATGAAAATATCAAAGGTGCGAGAGCCGGGATTTGAATCCGCTTCACTCGGTTTCCCAAGTGAGCGTGTTACCACTGGGATACCACTGCCTCATATACGTTACAACGTTAAATTAGTCAATTGTTATGGTACTAAAAAAAATGATTTGTAACAATGAAACTAGTTTTATTGCTATGAAAAATATAAAATAAGTCATTGTGTTTAAACAATATACACGTTTATATTTACATGATAAACAACAATTGTCCACAGAATCAGCAAACGGTACATTTGTAAACAACAAAAAGCTGGATCCGCGTCGGTATGTAGAGTTATTAGAGCGGGACGTTGTGAAGTTTGGTTTCTCCCAACGCGAGTATGTTTTACTTCACGAGAACAGTAAAGATGATGCTCAGGATGACGATGAGAAGGAACCGGTCGCAGTCACTACCACTGAGCAAATCAAGATAGAGAAAAGGGCTAAGGAGGCAGCCGTGGCTGATGGAGATTAAGTTGAGGATTCTTCACTTTGAAAGGTATGCGATTGATCCGTTTTTAGGGTTCCGTACCTCAAAAGGATAAGAAAAACCCTTTTAAGATTACTCTCTTGCCACTTTCTTGATTTTAACCAAAATTGACATTTCTAGATCAACCAGAAGTACCCTATAGGTTTTGGGTCGAAAACCTATATGGTAGTTTCCGTTGATTTAGAATCACGAAATTTGGCAAAAAGCAAGCACCAATAAAGGAAAAATTACAAAATATAAATAAAGGTGAAAATTAAAGTTAAACAGTCTGACTCGCACTTGTCCGTAATTTTGTTTTAATTGATTACCTGAAAGAAGGACAAACAAACACATTTAATATATTAAATAATTTAATTTCAAATAAATAATTTAATCGATTGTTTTAAAATATTTATGACATTTTATTCCATTGCAGGACTTTACATGCTGTAGAAGATTACGCAACATAATTGTAGGAACTGTTTTTTTATGAATTCCAAACAAGTGTTTGTTTCCTTCGTCCAAAAAGTGGCTTCCTGTTTTGACTCAGTTCTTGTGTATAATTTATTAGATTTAAAGCTATTTTTAAGCAAGTGGGGGGTTCCTTAAATAGAAGGAAATTAAATTTTCGCAAGATTACACATTTTGTTCGGCTTTTGATGTCTATATTTAGTATTAAGATACAAACATATAACATAAATTGGTGTCTAGATTTATTCTGAACATGAGGGCTTTGATGCATTCGATGTATTTTTCTTTGTGAATTAAATCGTCGAATGTTTACGAGCCTTAGAAAACAATTTAATAAATTTTTAGACATATCTATGTAGTTCCGACTGTACTTTAATAGTAATAAATAAAGTAAATTTCATAACTTGTTCAAAGAGCGCAGAGAACAGATTTAGTATTGTTTAATATATATGTGTGTGAAGATCGAAATGGGTTACAAAATGTATTTTAATTATACCATCTCATATGGTATGCCATCATATCTATGTAAAGAAAGTCCGGTCGCGGAGCAGAAAAAATTTCATACAATGACCTCTTTGCCTACTGACAGTAGTCACAAATATTTTTATAGTAATTCAACTTCTCACTTTCACTGAAGTGTGATATTTTTCGTTTCTTCCGCGGAGACACCATTTCCTTGACGACACGTTTGGCTCAGTTTATAGTTACCCTACTTGCTGTGCTAGCGGTCGCGGGTTCGAGTCCCGATGGGGGCATTTATCTGTGTGATGAGCACGAATGTTTATATTCCAGTCTTGGGTGTTTATATTTATAATATGAAGTAGACGGCGCTGGTTCCATTTTAAAACAGTAAAGAGAACGTAACATGATAGTAAAACGTTAAAAACATCAAACAATTTCACTACGTCCGAAAACTGAGCGATCACTAGCGCATCCCACCCAGTATGGAATATCGTGCGATTTTAAATTAAATAACAATACCAAGCAAGCCGTGAGCTTTTTGACTCAAGGCAAGACAAAAACAGACCATACTCTCGCAGGTAAAATGTTTATAATCCCTTAAAACGGCGATCATTGCATATGTGCGAGCGCGACAGCAATATATTTACGCGGGAGCAACAGAGACAGGTGATAGCAGGTTATTGTACTAATTTTTTTCTGCATGGCGGTCGGATTTTTAAGCACATGATGAAATTATTTTCTACTATTACTTGTACTGAATGTAAAAGGTAATTAATTTGCAATATTTTTCATTACTTTATTTGTAAAATGAGGTTAGAAGCAAATAAGATATTGTGTTATTCTGTACCATGTTATTTTAATTACAGAAGACCATAGAGAACCATACATAGTTTTTATTAAGATAAGTTCTAGTAATATAATAAATGCATAACTATTATGACCACATAGTTTCATTTTGTACCTAATATATGACGACGGATCCAAAAGTGTCAATAAAGAATATATGAATATAAAATTTTACAATCATTTGACAAGTTTTAATAATTTACGCATTATAACATAATAAACTATTAGAAATCCTTGAACAAAACATATGGACTGGATCCGTTATCTAATGCATCCATCCATCTCAAATATACCCCATTACATCCTATACTAATATTTACAACGAATTGGACCCCATATTTACATTTACAATAAAATAAATAATTAAATATTAAAATATGATCTTTCGGTGGAATTATACAATGAATTTCCTAATATCACAGTTTAAAATGTAGTCTTAAAAATGTGTTTGTCGAAGTCTATATTTGGTTTGCGCGAGGGCCCGGCCTCGTGGAAGGACCTTTGTACTTCGCCCAAAGACGCTCTTTTCGTGATGCCATTCCGTAGAGGTATGATAGTTGCGTTGGGAGGCCTCGTATTAGCTCTAAGGGAATGAGTCCTGTGCAATGGCGGCTTGATGAGTCTATTCGGCGCCACACCAACTATACTGTGTCTAGAAAATGGCGCGTATGAAAGCGGTGTTCTTGGTATTTCATAGCCGTCGCTTATTGTATTTGCGGGGGAATCGCTGTCGTACATCAGTTCTAGATATTTAGGTGTACGTTGCGGCAGTAAATGTGAAGGCTCCATTTCATGCTCTGGGAAGTCTTCATCTGTTGACAAAAATTATTATTATAAATTATAATCATTAAAGGTGTGGTAAGTGTTGTAGTAGTTACAATTCGAACTCATGACTCTGAGTTCCATATGTGCACCTACTTATATGAAATATTTTGTTGTCTACTTATAGATATTGTAGGATGTCAAGTGCGTTTGGGGACCTACATCGGACAAAATCTTGAAAATGTAGAACATTGTTATACTATATTAACTAAATTTACTCTGTCATCTCATAATTTATAACGTTACATTATCGCTGTTAAAATTTAAATAGTTAAAATATTTTATATAAAACTATTTAATAATTAACTTAAGTATTTACACTAACCCAAAGCGTTCTCGTTCTCATCCAGGAGGTAGGTGCGGTTGTCGACGGCATCTGAACATGCGGCCATGCAACATATCAATTAGTTAAGTTAATAGTTTTATTTCTAAATGATCAATAATGTTTAGTCACAATTTTATTGAAAACATGCAATTTCTGCTCCGCGACCGGACTTTTAAGCTGAATGTGACATGCTATTTGATGTTTTAAATTATGGTAATAATGAATATGAATTAAATCTAAATTAACAGGTATTTTTTATAAAATTATTTTCTTGATAGCTGATATAAGGGTTACAAGTTATAATAGAAAACCTTGTATCATACCTAGTATAACTTACCTTTATTTCAGTTACATACCAATTAGTTTATTCAGTTAGTGTTCGGTATTTTTATGAAAAATGTTTTATCTATCCAAAGAATGTTCATGTGGTTGATTAAAAGGACATACGTGCATTATTTACCTTATTAATTTCATGAGAACATAATTAGTGCAAGAGCTTTAATAATTACTCATCAAGCTGTCAGCACAAAATAGATTTAAAAAATGATTATCATTTTGTTTAGACATACCTACACATACATACAAGTAACAAAATTAGGATAAATTTTTGCTCCCTCAATAACCAAATATTGCGCTAATAGCTTTTATAATTATGAGTCGTTTGTTCCAAAGCCAGCCACTTTAGAAATATGCTGCGCAGGAAATCTTATAATGCATTTTGCAGCGCGTGATCTACGGGCACTCTGCTCTTTTCAGTCTCTTATTAGAAAACCTGGCCTTATCTGGGGCTCGAACCTAGGACCTCCTGGTCTGCAGCCGTACATGCTAGTCAGTAGACCACCGAGGCAGTTATATATAACTTAAAAGTTATATTTATATAGATTTGAAAGTGTTATCTCACCATCACCCAGCAGAGTGAGGTAGTGCGGCGCGGGCTCGGCGCTGGCCGTAAGCGTGATGTTGGGCGACGTCTTGTCGCGCAGCGCGGAGACCACCTCGAGACAGTACCGGAACGACGGCCGCGCCTCCGCCGAGTAGCTCCAACACTTCTGTAGTAACTCGTAACTGAAAATAAGGGGTTATCTATATATATATATATATATATATATATATATATATATATATATATATATATATATATATATATATATATATATAAATTGTAACTAAGCCGAATCTGTGCATTAAATATTTTTTTGGAAAATCTTATTGAAATAAACATTATTATCGATACAGAGGCCGAATCTATAGTTTTTAGAATTTTTATCTGTCTGTCTGTTACCGCACCAAAGAAAAACCACTGAAGGGATTTTGATGAAATTTGGTATGGTGGTAGCTGGTTATCGGGGTCAACATATAGGATACTTTTTACCGTGAGAAAATATCTCATTTCTGAGAAAAAATGCAAAAACTGCAATGTAAGAGGTTACTAATATGTAAAACCTAAGAATTTGGTTTTTGGTCATCTGAACGCGGGCGGAGCCACAGGCAATGCTAGTTATTAATAAAGTGATGCTTTTGTCATTTGTAGATACGAGTATGTATAAAAGGTATCAACATTATGAATTATGATGCTCTCATGTCAAGTTTTCCATTATTAAAGGTAAAAATCGCCATTTTTATCATTCATTTTGAAATTCCGATGGTACGACAATTCGACGCGAGAGATTAGGCACGGAACCTCTTACGTGCTCTTAGAGCTTAGAGGAAACACCGCTAATTTCCCAATTCCGTGCTGTTACTAAGTTTTTTTTTTTTAGAATAACTTTGTTTGGTCCGCCCCGGGCTCTGAATCCAGGAACTTCGGATCAGTAGCTGTACACGCTAGCCACTAGATAGTAGTGGGAGTGAGAGGCAATAATACAGTAAAGACTCACAATGCGGAGGGGCAGTTGGGCGGGCGGTCGGGCGTGCCGCCGGCGCGCACCAGCGCCAGCACCTGGCGGTTGGTGCGCGCGGGGTACGGCTGCTGGCCCAACGATAATACCTGCACACGGAATTTATTATATTACTATTCCTCATCAAAATTGGATTAGGTACTATTATAAAGGCAAAAGTTTGTATTTGTGTATGTTTGTTACGTCTTCACTCTGAAATAGCTGGATGAATGGATTTGAATGAATATTACTAAAAAAATAAATTATAATCTGGAGTAACACATAGGCTACTGTTTTGCATAAATTAAGAACGTTAATACATTTTTGCTGAATGCACTTAAATTTTCTGCCTTATATTTAATAAGTATCAACTATAGTATATTAAAGGTTTACATGACTAATTTTATAGTCTGTGGTACACAATAAAAATATTGTAATTACTAAATAAATAATTATTAAATTAAAATCTGTGAAATTGAATATAATCTCTCTATGATTGTTGGCAAAGCTGTATCTTTTATTAATCTCCTTTTTTCAAATCCAATATTAATAAAGTAATCCACATAGTAATTATATTAAAATTAAAAGCTTAATTTGATAAGAAATAAAGACAAATATTACCTCCCAACAAAGCACGCCCCACGCCCACACGTCGGACTGGCACGAGAACACGCCGTCCACCAGACACTCCACTGCCATCCAACGCACGGGCAGCAAACCTAAACAGCATTGTACAGATTAACATAAAATAAATAAATGATCTATTATATATACATATGATATTTTGGTTTAGTCCTCAGCTCGGTGTGCGTTGTACCATGCCAGTTGTTTTCTGCTACTGCTCTGATAGTAGAGCAGACAGTGGGAGCTCCTCTTTGCATTGTATGGTCTGCCTCGGCTCGCAGCCGTCGGGTGCTGGTTGAGTGTTTAATTGATCCTGCCATGCTATCTGCCATCCTCATTAAGACGGGGGAAGTTTTGTTGGGTTTTAGTAATTATACTGGTTTTTCTGGCCAGTCAGTCGCAACATGACCACCTGTTATACAACTGTTATGCGTAAATACATTTCCCAACGTCGTTAGACCATCATTGAAAAAAAGGCATAAAATATGACAGCATTAGATATTCTAATCTGTATCTTCTTTTTTCTCAAATGACATACTGCATAGTTACCTTCTCCCTCCTTCCTGTAGTAATCATTCTTGTATATGTCCCTGGCGAGGCCGAAGTCGCCGATCTTGACGACGCGCTTGTCGCCGCGGCGCGCCACGAGGCAGTTGCGGCAGGCGAGGTCGCGGTGCACGAAGTGCATCTCCTCCAGGTAGCGGCAGCCCTTCGTCACGTCCACGCACATGTTCAGCAGGTCCAGCAGCGTCAGCGACTCTGCCGTGTACTGGTGGGAATCAAATGTTTATATCAAATGTGATGGATGGATGGATGATTACTTTGTTTTATTAATGTTATAGGTAAGCTCTTATGAATCGTCATTTCAATTTAAGGAAAGTTAATGTCACACGTGATATAATTTTCATAAAATATATAGGTATAGGTATTGAGTAGGTAACTGTTTTATGTTTACAAACGTTCCCACGTTTCTCTGATGACTTATGTATGAGCTTAATGTTCATTGTTTTTCCATATGTACTTACAAAACCTTTAGATTTTGTCACTAATATGGATACCGCCTAGACAGGGGTGATGGTACTGGATATTTATCTAAGATTGGCTATAACCACAAATAAACATAGGAGTTCGCTTGCATTATTCCGAAAATATATATAAATTATACAGGTATGTGCAATTACCAAGGAAGCTCTTTTCGCCCGTAAGTAGCTCAGCAGATCGCCGCCCTCCATCAACTCCATGATGATGTAGTTTGGGTCGTTGTCGAGACACACGCCCAGGAGCCGTAAGATATGTTCATGCTTGAAGTTGGACATTAGCGCCGCTTCTTTTAGAAATTCAGTTTTCTCCTGTTCTGTTGCTCCTTTTCGTAACGTCTGTTAAAGTAAGCGAATATTTATTACGTTATTAATATTAAACTGAATATAAAGTATATATGTATACATTATTTTTTGTTAAAAAGGACATAATTGAAGTTTACAATAAAATTGTGAGTACGTCAAAGAATGGAGTACCAACTTGTATAAATGCGAAAATGTATATGATTGTTACTTCATTACGCTGGCAACGCTGGACGTATTTGGATGAGTACACAAATAAACCATGAACATTGACTTGGAGGAACACTTAAGCTTCTGTTAGGCACCTAGGCTAGCTTCTGTTAGGTACGTAGATTTTGACATATTTTAGAAATGAAATAAGTAAATATAAACCCATCACTAACTTTAACAGCAACTTTAGTGTCAGTGTTAGCGTTGTTGATCTGCCTCGCCACGCCCTCGAAGACCTCCCCGAAGGCGCCCGAGCCCAGGAACTTGGTGAGCGTGATCTGCTCGCGGCGGATGTGCGGCAACCCCGCGATCTCCGCATCCGAAGGACAGTGCACGCCCTGAGATACGTATATGTTGTGATTGTCGTGAACTTTGAAATTTGGCCTTTTTAGATTTTTTTAGTTAAACGTGAATATGTCCCCCTAACCGAATCTTGAAAATCTTATTGAAATGGACATTATTATCGATACAGAGACCGAATCTATAGTTTTTAGAATTTTTGTCTGTCTCTCTGTGGTTTTGATGAAATTTGGTATGATTATAGCGCTAAATTGGCAACACTGGCTCTGTTATATCTATATTACTTTGACGTCACATTCGGTCTTACCAATGGCGTTGCGTTTCAACTATGAACTACTTTCAATTTCCTACCCATTTTTGCTCATTTCAATAATTATTTCCTCTATCAAAAAGAAATTATGTACCTACATTAAAAATATTGATTTAGGCTTAATTCAGAAGTAATAAAGATTATAAAAAATATTTCACCTTTAATTTAAATCAAACTTTATTTATTCAAATTAAACAAATAAACTATGTCTTTTTATATAATTAGTATAGATTTAACAACTTCCTCTTGACTGGTTTGGACATTTATGCTAGCCATGGGTCGATTCTTAACGAATTTTAACTTCGGTCATCTGTCTGTCAGTCATGAATTTTGATTTCATCTCCGTAGTGTTCGAAAGTAAATATTGAAATTCTTTAAAAAATATGTTAAAAAATACAGTACCTGATTGTACAGAATGTTGTTGGAATGTCTGATAGGCAGCTGGCGCAGCGTGGCGAGCTCGACGTCAGGTCCTCGTCTGACGATGTTAGCTGTTAACTGATTCTCGATCGCCGCTTTCTTCTTGCTTCTATTCTTATACGCTGTAAAAGTTGAGACGTATAAATTCACATCATGTAAAAGGTCATTTTGCTTTTTTTGCTAACCAAAAAAAGGAACATAAATAGAGCCTTATTTTAAGTCGATATAGTTATTGTACCTATTGTATAATATCTTGCTTGGCATAAAATATAACCTATGTTTCTCGTAAATTCTTCATCCCTCAAAAAACCCAATTAATATTTCACCATCTCAGAAATTACGCGCAAAATCCGTTTAATTATCACGTACCTACCATCTATCGGATAACCGAATTAGTATGTAACGTATCGAAGTTTTAAAAAGATTGCGAGCTCTCACAGATCCGTACTCTATGCTAGTTAATTTATTTAAGTTTAGATACGTGTAACTATATATGTTACCGCAGGTTCACTTACACACTCATCCACTACGCTCCACCGGCAGGTCTGCCGAAGCGGTCTACACGACCAAGGAGTTGCTCTGTCGGTCCACTGTACTATTTGAAGTACCAGGAGAAACCTGTATGGTACACCGCCCACCGCCCACTGAAGCGGGCTACCTCTCTTTGTCTCTTGACTTCACGCAAGAAGTACCTGTATACTGAGCCAAGGGTAGCTCGCTAGTTCTATTACTACCATTACTACTCTACTTAAATAAGACTATAGTTACTGTAAATGACGCCGGCGGCGACGAGCAGCGCGAGCGCGGCGAGCGCGGCCAGCGCGGCGGCGAGCGCGGCGGGCGGCGCGCGCGCGGCCAGCAGCTCGCCCGGCGCCGACAGCGCGCCCCAGCCGTAGCTGTTGCGCGCCTGCACCTGCGCGCGCCAGCCCGCCACCGCGCCCGTGCTCACCAGCCAGTACGGCTCTACAACACAGATTGTTGTTCAATATTATTTTATGTCCTCACCAGCCGGTGCGGTTGTACAACACAGGCTTTTATTTTTATACTATTTTATACGGCTCTACAATGCTATTGATTTATTATTCTTACATTATTTCTTGTGCTTACCAGCCAATGCTGTTGTACAATATATTATTATTACATTTTTTAATTTAGATTTTATGTCAATTTTTTACTAATTTCCTGAAAGGAGGTGTCAATACAGTTAATTGTAAGAACTACATTACTAGACCAATCGGAATCCGTTTATTTTTAAGAGAAAAAATAAAATATATTGAAGACCTGAAGTTTTATGTTTTTAAAATGTTAGCAGGTATATAAGGAATAGAAATTCGTAAAATGCCCCCTATGCCCAGCGACCCCCGAGAAATGGGGGGACCCGCATTCATTAATTCATTGTTCATTTTTAATTTTTTTTTAATGATTTTTAAACATGACTAAATTTTGTAAATATCAACTTAATTTTTTTTAATTGGCATTTTAACTAATAAATAAACAAGATTAGACTATGAATGAATTTCATTTCTTTCTGTAATTACCTTAAAATCAAATTTTTCAGAAAAAATCAATAAAATCGGATCCCACACCGATCAAAAACTATCAAAATATAAATAGATTAGTACATATACTTTACGTGAATTCCAACTATTATTATTTTTTCACGACTCGTCAAATTGCAAAGTTTGAATGTTTACGGCGACATTGTATAAATAATAAGCGTCAAATTAAAAACTAAGGACACCCTTTTTTTCGTTTTTTCTCGAAAAATACACTGGTGTGTTTACATAAAATTTGGTCATTAAAGTAAACTTCTACAATGATAATTCAAAAAAAATATAGTTTACAAATTAAAAATTATCGATTTCTCCAATTTTTGAAATTTTAGGGTGTTTTTAGAGAACGACCATACAATGTTTTTATTTTTTCAAGAAGTCGAGTTCAAGACGAAAATAATGAGCTCTATCTGGAAATTGAACGAATTTTTTTAAATGTAAACGTCCACTGGAAATTGGGGGTGATTTTCAGCCTCTCGAAACCATAAAACATTCTTTTCTCGGAAATGGCTAAACATTTCAATTTTTTTATTTATTATATGTATTTCATGAAAACCAAAAGCTTATTCTAGAAATTAAAAATAAAAAACCAAGAAAAAGTTAAAAACCGAGTTTATTGAAAATATCTCGAAAACTTTGAGGTTATTGTAAAAAGTGTAATTAATTTATAAAAGTTGTAGATTTTTACTAGAACTACAACTTTATAGATAACACTTTTCGATAGAACGTCACTGTAAGCCGGAAATTGAAAAAAAACTATTTTTCAACGCTATGCGTCCCCCCATTTCTCGGGGGTGCCCAGCTACCCCCGTGTATATTATAAGAGATATAAGATATTATTAAATAAAACTATCTTTTCGGATTCGAAAAGATAGTTTTATTTAATAATGTCAAACATTCGCGTAAATCTAAGAAAGTATTAGATATAAGATAGATAAGAGACATAGAATAAAAGAGATAGGGGGCATTTTACGAATTTCTATTCCTTATATACCTACCTGCTAACATTTTAAAATCTTAAAACTTCTGGTTTTCAATATTTTGTTCCCAATCCGGATTCCGATTGGGCTATACTTAATTTAGATTTTTTTAGTTATGTATATTTTTAACCAATTTCGAAAAAGAAGAAAGCTAAAGTACAAAAATATCTGTAATCGATGTATACGATTTAGAACATGAAATAGGTATATTTGTGCTAACCTGACAACAGAATAACACAATTGAACTTAAATTTTAAATTTTAAAATTTCTATATAAATATTTGGACATTATCGTAATAAATAATACTTATTATCACATTATTACATAGGGTTTAAAATTGTTTATGATATAGGTATGTATGCAAAAGTCACATACCAGTTCCATTATGCAGTAGTTCAAGTCCCTCACGAACGATACGTAATTTCATTTCATCATCGATATCATCTGGTAGATTATCTGGCAACAATTCGCTGATATTCTTTACATTGATATCCTCTATGTAATTGATCCTAAAAATATTATTACTTATATAATAATTTTCTTTCAAGAGTAATAAAAAAATCTTTAATGTAAAATTATACAAATATAATTCAAAGCAGTAATCCATTGTGTCAACCCTAAAAAAGAACCCTCATCCATCCTTCATGTACGAATACGTGAAAAACATTAAGTAATTCGTGTAATCGTTCGTCATCCTAAGGACATTTGTTTTATTTCAGTTATCATATCGCAACCGTATTAGGGTGACTCCGCCACTACATGAGCACTTATACAGTACGACTCGACTCACCTATGGTGCGGTCTCCCCCACACGCGGTACGCGGTGACGGGCGCGCCGCGCGCGTCGGGCTCGGCCCACCAAGCACGCAGCACGCGGTCGCCCACCGCCTCCACGCGCAGCGCGCCGGGTGGCCCTGGGACGTCACCTGTAAACATATTTTTATTTTACATTATAAAAAATTTATAAATAAGTATGGCCTTATCCTTATTTCTGTTCGCGTACGCCCTAACAGTAGCTTAAGTGTTACTTACTCCAAGTGCGGTCAGTCCAGCGTGGAGAACGTTAAAAAAAAAAAAAGCGTGGAGCACCAAAAACAAATACACATACAAATTTTCACATTTGTAATATTTATTCAATAATAACCACACAGTTCACAATTTCACAGTTAAATAATTTAGATTTAGTTTTTACTATCGATTACCACATTCAATTATTGAGTAAGCATGATATAGTTGTACCTAAAGTTTCAAATGTAAACCGGTCGTCATCTGGCCAGTGGTAAGGCTCCGTGTCGGCGACGTACTGCAAGCTCAGTCGGAAGCAGTAGCGGGTCTTAGGGCGCAAGTCGCTCGCCGTCCACTCTGCGTTGCCGCTTTGCTCACATGGTGTCCAATTGTCCTTTAAGTTGGATGCCTCTGTATACTCTACAGAGTAGCTGTAATCATTTTTTTTTTAATTTTAAGCAACGCCTCGCTTTTTTATGGTATCATATTACCTGAATTCAGTCTCGAATTTATTAAGTCTAGTTTATACGGATTGTACGGGTTTGATACTACCTAATGCAACATTTTTATGATACAGTAATATATTTTCTCTTTAAATTAAAAGCTTGAAGTTAGGATAGATTTCTTATTATGTATGTGTTGTTATTCACGTAATATCTTATTTTTTACTTAAAGATCTCTTCGCAAGATTGTTAAAAATCTTAATTAGCAATTAATTAACCTCATGCAGCGTTTATAACAAAAAAAGCGACATTGTCTATATTAAGTCAATTTTATTATAGAGTATTGCCAATTTGTTATTAAATTTACTATTTACTATAAAAATTTTGAATGACATTGAAGTCCCTCAATTCGCAATTAGCTAGCGTGGTGGACTATGGGCCAGATATTAGCATTTAGGGGTGACCCGTGTCTAGAAAAAAGACGTTAAAAGGGGTTGAACACAATACGTTACCTATGCAGCGTATATGAGGTGGGTTCAGGCCACAGCACGTGCAGACGATAGGCGTGGGCGCGGTAGAGCGCGAGCGGCGCGGGCGCGGGGTACGTGCGCAGCGCGAGCGGCGCGCTGTCGGCCGGCTGCGGCGAGTGCCGCGAGCGCGCGCGCACCCACACGCGGTACGGCGTGGCCGGGCTGAGCCGGGTGATGTTAGCCGTGTGGCCTGATGTCACTTCTATTGTGTTGTGTTCTGTCATTTTTTATAACTGTTAGTTTTCGTTAATTAACAGCATACTGCATACAAGATAAGTTCTGTACGATTTTTAGCCACGTTTAAACTGATAATCGTTTTCTTATATGTGAGTTGCAACTTGTCTCTCTAAATGCCAGTTATACAGCGTATATTTTAGTAACAATCTTACAAACATAAAAATATATACACACAAACTTTCGCATTTATAATAGTAGATAGTCCGATTAAATTATTATACAAGACCTACATAGAAATACATACTAGCACATAATAATGCGTAATATATTACTCGTTGTTACTATTGACTTACGCTCGCTTCGCTCGTGTGCGTTCCTAGGTCCCAAACAGTAACCGATGTGTTAATCCAGTATTAATCTATCAGTATACTAAATTTCATGTAAAACCGTCCAGTCATTAAAGCGTTAAGAAGTAACAAATATACATTCACACAAAGTTAAGTCTAAGCGCTACTAGTTATTACTATAATTTAGTTAATTAAAGTGCGTAAAAATAAGAAAACATTCCGAAATTAAAAATTAATAAGGAGCATAAAATCAGAAAAATGAAAACTATTTTCATTGGAATCATTTACAGCAATACCTTTTAAGAATAGTAAAATGATTACCTTTCATTCGGTTCGCCAAGGACGGTACGTCGTCGGTGCGCCAGTGCAGCTCGTACAGCAGGCCGGGCACGGCCGTCCACTCCACTCGCGCGAGCACTGGGCTTAACACTATTCCTTTTACGTCTTTCGGTGCTGTAGGTGCTAATAATTTAAATTACGTGTTTATTTTTTTCTAAATGTGGTTAAAATTACAACAAAGAAATATGTTATAAAAATAATAATTATTTCCTCTTGGCCGATTCCGGTCATGGCGACCAATCTCAATGAGACTTGCCACCTGCGCAAGAGATAATATACTTAGTGTACAAGTATGTGTAATTAAGTGTGTGCACTTCCTATAGTTTCACTGTTAAACTCTAGTGGAACGACCATTCGACAATGGTGGTGAGAGATCAAAAGGGGGTGTAATGCTTCTAGGCGCTAACTAGCCGACTTCGCTGCTACTGAGAATTCCTTATCAGAAAAATCCATTGCTAAATATTGGCATACCCCGGACTCGAACCTAGGATCTCCTACTGCAGCGGAACATGCTAACTACTATCACTAGACTGACGCGATAGTTAAAAATTATGTCTGATTTTGGATGATTTATATTAACTAAGCAGATAATAGTTTATAAATCAAGGAAATAATTTTACCTTCAGCTGCGGTCTGTACAATGAATGCAGCGCCTGCAACGGGTTTTATCTCGTGCAATTTGCCATAGTAGTTGGTCGCTTCTATTATCACAGTATAATTTGTGAAAGGTTTCAAGTCATTTAAAATTACTTCACCCTTAGTTGTTACTACAAAAGAACACGTCTGGCGATCGCATGCGGCTGTGTCATGTTTTAATCGTCTTTTATAAAATATTGTGTATTCTGTGGCCGCCATGTTATAAAGTAAGTCTTGACAAGTTGCAGGTTTAGACATAGCGGGCATTTCTAACTTTATACTATCTGCAGAGTGTGATAGGACTTTTGGAATCAACTTTTGTGGTGTAGGGAATAAGCAGTGCCAGGAGGGATATGGCTGACGTCCTGGGTCTAATGCCATAATCTTATACCCATAAGAAGATTTAACTTGCTCTATTTTATTTTTCTTGAATTTATCTGTATAATAAATAAGCTTTTCTGTCGAATTGTACCAATAAACGTGTTTGCTGTCCACAGTCATCGACATTGGTGGAAATCCATATTTTTTCTTTTCTGTTGCGTTAACTACCACTCTACATTTGCATCCATGTTTATCTGTGACTAAAATGTTATTAACCCATGGATCTATATAATACAATTCAAAATTATTATTCGTTAAGTCAATGACGAAACTTTTTGATATTTGTGGATTTTCAGGGCAATTACATTGTTCTTCAAAGTCTTTTGTTGACATGTAACCTTCAGAATTATTAAAAAAAGTTCTTAAATTCGATCCATCTATTTTAGCAGTCATTAACTCTCCTAGCCCCAAGTGATTGATCTCTTCATACCAGTACAAAGATCTGCAATAAGTTTCATTACGTAATAAGTATATTATAAATGAATTTCTTAAGATTTTTTTTTGCAAAAATATACAAAACAGATATGATTTACTTATATTAAATATTAAATTTTTATAATATATTGCACTTACCCCAACAAGGGAACAATTTGTAAACTATATACCGGTCGCTTTCTACTAAAGATAAGTTCAGAATGCGGAATTCCAAGAACTGTTCGGTACACCATGTACGACTCGGTGGAAATTAGTTCTCTTTGGGTCCAATATATTGACCGACTGACCCAGTCGACGCAGATACTAGTTGCAGTATCGTTTATCGTTGTCAACTAAATAGCAAAAGGTAATGTTAATGTAGAGAATATTTTGACGTACATAGAAATATTACGTTATTATAAATATACGTATAAGCATAAAGTTATTTATAAAACAACTTACCTTATGATTTCCGCTACTATTAATCCTAGATGAAAATATTTCTTGGAAGCTGTTAACCCAGTAAGCAATATTTTCTTCAATGGCTACATCAAAGTCTATGGGTACTCCAGTACTTTTTCTGATATCTTCGCTTTCCCCAGAATCTAGGTCCAGGATCTTGAGAGCTTCATGAGAGGACATTATAACTTTGGGAATTGGGCTGACCTCGTTAGATGACGCAGATACTGTTTCAGAGTATTGTCCGAATCCAGCGTCAGTATATGCACGCACCTAAATAAAGAAGGAATGAATAAATGAGTGCCTTCATATAAATTGTTGCTTCGTAATAAATATCTTCGTATAAAATAAAGTACCCGGGCGACCGAGCTTCGCTCGGAGTTTTTGGCCAATGAAACATTAAAAAAAAACACGCGTTTTCCCAGACATAAAACTAATCTAGATCGATTTATCGCCCCCGAAACCACCTGTACATTAAATTTCATGAAATTCGTTGGAACCGTTTCCGAGATTCAGATTATAATTGCTCGTTTAAATATATAAGATGTGTAGCGTCTGAAAGCTACAAAGTTGAAATTAGGCACGTAGATTTCTCAAAAGGAGTAAGTATCCGATATTGTAAGTATCCGTATTTGATAACAATAAATGAAGATAAACAAACCTGGAAATAATAAACAGAAGCGTTCGCCAAGTTAGTGAGCACGAGTTGCGTGTGCAGCGGCGAGAGACGTGCGTCTGCGCAGGCGGAGGGCGGCGCGGCCCAGCACTGCGTCTCGTAGCCGCGCACCACGCCGTTACTGCGTAAGGGCGGCTCCCAACGGAATATTGCGTTTAATGGACCTCCGCTGTAGACAAATTAATGCTAAGTTAAATTATTATTCATAAAATCTTACTTTAAAAAATGTTTTGTGTTTGGAGATAGGGTAATTCGGGGTAATATGGCCAGTTCTTTTGAGATTGCCAGTCAAAAAAAAAACATCTTTGGTTAGTAGATGGTGATGTTCATTATGCTTATATATTATAATATTAGCGGAACCTGCGGCTTCGCTCGCGCTAAAACTACAAAAAACTATAAAAAAGGTAGGTTTCATACAAACTGTCATCCCCTATTTTACGGAGTTATGGGATGTTTCGAAAAATGTTAAAATACGAAATTACTTAATTGTATTGAAGAGCATTAATACCAAGTTTCAAGTAATTCTGATCATAAATATTTTGAGTTGTATTATGACGTGTTTTCCCGTGAGAATGAAATAATCTCTTGCGATGAAAAATATCCTATGTCATTCTCCAGCCCTCTAACTATCTCCACACAAAAAATCACGTCAAACCGGCACTCTGTTTTGACGTGAAAGAAGGACAAACAAACAAACATATTTTCATATTATAATATTAGGTACGGATTACCGACATACCCTCGCTAATTCGTGCGCGTCCCTAAGTGCCTTAAGAGTAGTTTTTCTCTCAAACAACTTCCTAAAAGTATCTTAAGACAACATATAGTACTACGACAGATTCACACCATCACTTACCTATGCGAAGGCTGGACATACACGCGCGGCGCTCTAGGCGCGGCGGGCGGCGCCTGTGGAGTGTGCAGGGCAGCGCGCGCGCCCGCGCCGCCGCCCCACTGCGTGTGCGCGCGCACCGTCACCTCCACGCGGCTGTAGGGCTGGACCGACCGCGGTCTCAGCTCTAGCCACGGCACTTCTACTGTTTTCTGGTTTGGTAAATTGACAATATATTTAATATATCATTTTATTATATACTAGCGACATAAACTAGCTTGACTCGGGCGTGTCTCTAGGTATCTTTTGCGTTACATTTTATTGCTTTATTTCAAAAAGTTGAAGCAGCCAAGTCGATACAACAACTTAACTGCCAGTTCTATTCCTTAGACTTCAATTAAATTTATTATGATTTATGAGAGTAAACACATTTTCATTGGAATAAAAAATAGCTTATAACACTCCACGATAATGTTGTTCTTATTTAGTGAAATTTCAAGCCCGAGCTTTTATTGACCATAAACCTTCTAATGTGCAGTCAATTAAACTTTTACATGTAATTTGTTAATTATTGTTAATTAAATACCACACAGCTCTTGTCAGAGCCTCCTCGCCTACCTCGATCTTAGGTTGGTCGTGAAAGTGCAGACTAACGTCGTAGTACACTTTGCTGTTGTTGACATTGACGCGAGCGGAAGGTGCCCAGGTCACATTAAATGTGTCCCATTCCCCACGCACTGATATCGAAGACGCGTTTATCGTTTCTGGTATGGCGATTATCGATTCTAAAAATGATAAATTACGAATTTAAAAAAAAACGACCATCTTGGACCGATTTTCATCAAACATATCTAAGAACACTCCCAACTAATTCTCCTTTGAAACAAAAAAAAATCAAAATTGGTTCATCCGTTCGGGAGCTACGATGCCACAGACACACACAGACACGTCAAACTTATAACACCCCGTCGATTTTGCGTCGGGGGTTAGTTAAATTTATTTAGACTAGTCATTACTTGTAAACCATACACAATAATTTTGTATAGGTATCTGTCCCTACTCTCTAGTTTTTCTAAGTTATATAAATTGCAATTTTTAAGAATTTCACTAATGCCAAAACCGATTTGATGACTTACTCACACTGATCATCTTTTTTCACGATTAGTCCAAATACATGTAATTTTTGGTTCACAAGAACTACTTTTAATTTAATTCGTAATTTTCTCCTACACTCTCCTTCCCAGGATTTTCTCTTAAACAAAAACTTTTTAACAAAAAAATAAAAACCGACTTCAAACAAAAGCACTAAAAAGTAAAAAATAACTGATTGGTAGTTTTCATTTACTATACATACCTAATCAAATATTTTCGAAGTCGGTGTGCTTTGCTTTGTATGGGCTGGCACCGATTTCGAAAATATTTCATTAGGTATGTATTTAATAGGTAGGCTTTAATTACTTAGCCAAAGCACACCGACTTCGAAAATATTTGATTAGGTATGTATAGTAAATGAAAACTACCAATCAGTTATTTTTTACTTTTTAGTGCTTTTGTTTGAAGTCGGTTTTTATTTTTTTTGTTAAAAAGTTTTTATTTTTCCCTTTTTAGTGTAGACAGTAGTAGCATAGTAAGGATTCTAACGTGTTAGGCTTGTCAAATCAAACAAAATAAGCCCAAACTCAAAGTATCTACTATTAGCCGTTGAAGAGTTCCACCTATACCCAGTACCCACCTTCTGGCCTTGCCATCTGATCAGGTCAATAACACCAAACCACTGTACTATCAACGGAAATAGAAATACTTGCAAAGTTTCAAGTCAATATGACAATTAGAAGTAGGTTAAATTCATCATTAGTTGTTTTTCCACCCTTAGGGGTGGTATTTTTTTTGAAATTTAAATGGGACCAATCTGGAAGTATACCCTTTCAAACAAAACAAAAATTGTCCAAATCGGTTAATAAATGACGGAGTTCTGAGGTAACAAACATAAAAAAAAAAAAATACAGAATTGAGAACCTCCTCCTTTTTGAAGTCGGTTGACAAAAATAAAAGATGAAATTACCGCTATCTTTATGCAAAGTAGGATCCCTCACAGCGATCACATGAACACGAGGGATAAGCTCAGCGGTATATTTGCCGGCTAGATCCGACACGACGGCTCGAGATGAGTCCTGAACCCACACCAGCCGTCCGCTGTAGTAGCATAAGGGACCGAGAGTCGCAGTGCCTGATAGCCGTGTTACGAGTGAACTAGATACCTGAGACATGTATAAATATAGTAAAATGACAATATCGTCCCGTATTTACACAGATAAATACTATTGTCTGACTATCAAAGAATAAATTAGCGGTTAAATTTATTTTTATATATAAAGAAAATAAATGTTTTGAATTTATGTCTCTTACATATTACTAATTTTGATCAAAATCTAACATATGTATTAAAACTTATATTTGTTTGAAGCCAATTATAAATTTAGCTTTTATATAAAGAATACGTAAGGTTTCTAATATATTTTTTAAACTGTTTTCTCATTTTTTAATACTTTACTTCCCAATAAGTTGGATATAGTGCATTCAACTTAATAGTAACTATTAAAAGTACCTCATTTGTTCCGAGCGATATCTGATCAGCCGTCCTAGCGCGATGCAACTCTGAACCATCGTAACTCCTCACTAACCAATATAAGCGTTTTTTCTCTAAGTCTGCTGTAAGACCCATCACTGAAATAAAAGTTTTAACTTAACGACAGAAAATTAAAGTTTAAAACTATAAAAATAGTAGTATATACATCAGTAATTTTCACTTACGAGTATACCTAAAAAATTATCGATTATCAAAATTTGAACTCTGTATAAGCAACGCTTATTACGGCGAATATAATTAAAATTAATTGTGACAACCAATTCACTATTTAAATACCTTGCTTTCCACTAAATAACTGTGCTGGGTAATAAATTATTTTATTTTCCCCATTCAATCTGGCGGCTTCAACTGCGTGTCCGGTGCTCCAATAAATGTATGCTCCCATGGAATCGATGGTAAGTTCTTTTGCCACAGTTACTATTGGAACTGGTTCTCTGTTTCCACCATTAAAATTTCCCCTTGTTATCTAAAACGTTATAATATTCTTTTAACTAATAAAAAAGTTAAAAATACTAGTACTGATAAGATAAGCTCCTTAATGTGCAATGAAATAAGCTTTATAATCGAAGTCAAATAGTGCGAGTAAAATAAAAAAAATGAGATAAAATTTATAGAGTATAAAATTTTACGTGTTTATAAAAAAAGTCAATTACTAAGTGAGTAAAGTGAAGTATAATTAAGAACTTTTAACAGACTTACCAATTGTTGCTTAGGATTGGACCAATAAATCTTTTTGCCAACCCAATCTACAGCTAAGCTACCCACGTTATCCATATCTTGCATGAAACCTTCTTCATGACTTGTAATATTGTACCACATCACTGTTGATGCATTCGTCACTAGGTAGAGCTTGTCTCTATACCACGATATATCAGTGATATACACATTCTTAAGGCGAGATCTGTATAGATATATACGATATTATATTAATATTATCGTCTTTATTTTAAATATAAAATTGGATCAATCAACGAGAACAGATGGTCTCATTCTGAATTAGTTATATTAACAGTCAAAACAACTATTGTTAGAATATTTGTAATTTGATTTTTAATTAAAACATAAAGCATAATATTGTATAGGTATCATTTTCAAAACGGCCATCTTACCTATGAATTAAGATTTGCATGTTGTCTCCGGTTAAATCAGTTTGCAACAGACCGTCAGGACCAGACCATACCAAAGTGCTTTGTAAAGTAGTAGGGGAAAATGTTAAGGTTTTGCCAATAAATTCTGAGGACCACGGTCCTGATCCTGAATCCGTCACCGCTGCCACTCGTATAACATATTCAGTATCCTGTATCAAATTTTCAACGACGTACATAGACTCATTTATATTCTCACTGAAAAGTACACAAGTACATAAAATATCATAATGCTTTTTCACTTTATTTAACATTCAAATAAAATATTAATTATTAATTTGATTCAAATTTAATATTAAATTTAAAACAACTACTAACATTTTGATTATTTCACCAGATTTAGGTTCAGTAAGTTGTAAATAGAACGTCCACCGTTGCCAAGCTCCCGTGCCCTGATGGCCTAACAGGTGCGGAGGAGACCATGAAACTTTAGCCCTATTAATGCCCATAACGCTTTGAACGCCTAAAGGAGGATTTACAGGTACTGGAATCGGTTGGCAACTTCTTAAAGCAACGAGAACCTGTCTGGTTGCTATCGACTTTGTATTGTATGCCAAAGGATATTCATTGTGAAAGTAACTGTCACTTTGACCGTGATATTCTTCAGTAAGCATTTCCTGGCCGTTAGTCCAATAAAATAAGCCATTAGCATAAGCTATTGAGCGAGCAGAAAAAAACATTGGAGTTTGTGTGTTACTTCGAAAATCTGTTACTTCTCGTCTGAAATTAAAAGTATATAATAAAAAATATAATATAAAGAAATATCATAGAAGTATTTCTATAAATAAACTTGATGTATTGATTAAAAGTTTGTTACTTTCGTTTGAAAATATTTATTACATACCCGTCAAGAGAAACTGCTAAAACTGTATTCCTTCTCAAATGTGCAACTAGTAATCTAAAATCAGCGTGGTCAACTGTGAAGGCTCCTAAATGAGCGTCTCTTACTATAAGTTCTGGAGGAGCGTCGTGTCGAACTCCATTAGATATATTCGCTAAATCTAATCTGTACAATCCGCCTCGTTCGACACCTTGCAATGCCCAAAATAAATATCTGAAATATATAAAAAATTATGTCATTTAATTTGGCACGTCGTATGGTTTAAAAAATAAGTATTGTTCTTGTCAATAGTCTTTGATTTACATGGTGTATTTGAATTAACTTACCCATTGTAGGCATCAACTTCGAAATGTATTGGACGGGTATTAAAACCCGATAACGCCACAAGTTGATTTTTCCCATCGAAATCACACCTTAATATTTCCCAGCTAGAATACAAGCTCGTGTTTGGCCAATTAGACCCCTCTTTTGTATAATAGACCTCACCAAGTACATATAAATGTCGATTGAGCCAATCCACAGACAAGTCTAATGGTTTGTATGAAATATTTCCTGGTGTTAATATGGGTTCTGATTGACCCTTCTTAGTTAAGGAACTTCGGTAAACAAATCCGTTGGATACAGATACAAACAACGAATCGCTGTATAAGTCGAGACCCACACCTGGAAATACGCATGATTTGAATTGCATTGGACGTCTTCAAAAAACGTGCACCCAACAAAGATAAAGGACACGATATTTTTTAATAAGGAACCCAAAAAACAAATTACAGCGTAATGCATATTGATTTGTTCCTTATCATCTCTAGATATATTATAGTTGTAATATTACTCACACGAAGCATGTTACTTGCTGTACAAGACATTTAAATTTCAAAAAAAAGATTCATACCCGTAATTTTATGATTAGTGCTATAAAGTTCTACAGGGTCAGAGAGTATATCATTAGCAGGCGCCGCTAAGATACTATGTTCACCTCCTAAAATTAAAACTGGTTGTTGGCTGGGAACAGCTGAAAAAATTCTGCAATTAGTAAATTCTTTGACGTTCAAGAATAATTATATATTAGTTTTCGCTATGATTGAACAATGACAATAGTTACTATATAATAATTGTATAAATATTTTTTATTGTATAAAATTGTAAGGAAATATTAGACAACATTATAACAAACAGGTAAATATAGTTATTTTGAACTTATTTAACTTTAAAAAGAAAAAGCATCTTATTACTTACAAGTTGGTAAAGGGGGAGTTTTAATTCTTACGTAAGCTCTAGGGCCTTCGCCTATAGAATTTCTCATTGCTACTGATACCTCATATTCCCTCGCTGGCGCTAAGTTTTGAAACATATAGAATAGGGTATTGTTAGATGCTGGCATATCCTGAAAAATAATAAACGTAAATGTTGAAAGAAGAATTTATTTAAATAACAATGAAAAGGTTCAAGGCCAGTATTTTGGATTGAAATACTTATACTTGTATTAGTCAATAAATACCCATAGTTAATAAGATATTTACCTCCAAAGCATCATTTGTATTAGGTTGCGTATCTGCAAGTCTGAGTACATAAGATATTAAGGGTCCATTAGGAAAAGGCCCTGGCTCCCAAGAAATAGCAACTCTACTAGGGTCTGGTGCCGCCGCTCTTAAAGCAGTCGGTGCCGAACTAGGCTTTCCACTTTCTAATGTGGATATTACTACTGAAGGCGTTGAATATACTGGCTCACCAGCGCCACTATGTCCCGACAGAAAAATTGCAACACGAAACTAAAAAAAAGCAAAAATTTGATTGTGTTTTTTCACTGAAACTTTTAAGTACACCAATGAAATAATCGAATTTTAATACGAAACTTACTCTATATTTAGTGTATGGCCGCAAATTCTCTACATGAATAATAGATCTGTCGGAAAGGCTAGAGTTTGAATAGTACTGCCAGCTTCCAGGCAGTTCCTCGTATCTCCATTGAATAAGGTAACTTAGGTTTGCCAGATTGGGTGCATCCCATACTAATGATAATGATGTTGCTGTCAAGCTATCCGCTACTAGAGCTGGTGCGGGAGGCGTGCCAAGCAAGTCTATAAAAGTAAGTATCAGAATAAATATGTACATGTATACAACTTATTCAGTGTACATGATATAAACAATTTCAGTAGAATAAATATTACAGACACCCCTTACCTCTAATTTTTTGAAAATATGTATTCAGAGCTTCATTGCATCCCATAACACAATACAATTCTCGTGAAAAAACTGTTTCAGATGTCACATTCTGCAATATATAATAGATTTTAAAGAATATTGTATGGAATCCGTTATTAGGTACATGAAAAGTAAAAGTTAATAAGAGTTATAGATTAAAGGATTAAAATAATAAACAATTATCAACAAAGGCTTAAAAAGTTAAGTAATTATAGTACATGTAATACTTACTTCTTTAGAAATATACTACTCTACATAATATGTGTATTAAAAAAACTCTAACGTAATTTATATTATGAGGTTTATAATGAGTACACGTGGTAAAATTATTATTATATTTGTTTTATATATAAAGAGGTACTCACGCAAACAGTTTGACATGAGTTTTCCAATCCTTCCAACCATATACTGCATCCATATGTGCACTGCAAAATAATATTATCTATACATATAATAAAATGGTAACTAAGCCGAATCTGTACATTAGATATTTTTTAGAAAATCTTATTGAAATAAGAATTATTATCGATACAGAGGCCGAATTTATAGTTTTTAGAATTTTTGTCTGTCTGCCAGTCTTTCTGTCTGTCGGTCTGTTACCGCATCACAGAAAAACTTTTTACCGCGGGAAAATATATCATTTGTGTGTGTGTGTGAGTGAGAAAAAATACAAAAACTATAATGTAAGAGTATACTAATATGTAAAACCTAAGAATTTGGTTTTTGGTCATCTGTTCGCGGGCGGAGCCGCGGGCAATGCTAGTACTATATAATAAAGTACTTAGTCATTATATGTAGAGCTAGTAAATATTTACGATTTAACATACAACGCACATTACGCCTATTATTTTGTTTTTCATAATACATATAGGTACTTATAATTGTTAAATTATAAATGTGGCAGTAATAAATTTCGTCCAATTATTTACTTTATGGGTTTTAGGTCAGTAATAAATTAATAATTTTTATCTTACCATCGGCTTTTTATAATTAGGGCAATGTGTGCAGTATATGTTCACAGACGTCTTTGAATGGTTCGCGAGAGTGTTTCGCGTGTGTTTACATCGTCAACGTGCACATGTTCATTTTTACTTTTAAATTTTTAAACATTCACATGCATCTTCATACTTTAAAATTCAAGTGGTTTGACTTTCATAGTTTCTTTCTAGAGGTAGGTATGTAGTTTTTAGGCAATATTTAAAAAAAATCATTAAAGCTAACTCTAATGTGATTTACCAACCATGAGTAGTAGAGAATTCACACAGTAACCTGCTTTTTAACGGACTTTTACGGTTGGCTTACGACCTTTACGGATGGTGAGTTTCGAAAAGACTATACGCAAGGATGTAACAGGTGCCTCTCACTACCTTTTCTTATCGCTAGATATACTCGCACCCCTGTTTTTCTTGTATATTGTTTACTGTTTAGTCTATTAAAACAATAATTATTATCTATATATACCGTTGAGTGATTTTGATATCGATTTATATATATTTATAGTAATTTATTGTTATAACTACATATTTATATAATACTTTTATTTATTATTATTTTTTCAATACACCGATTATAAAAATACTAGTACGATCTTTGATTTATGACAGAATTTCTAGACAGAAAAATCCAATAGAGAGTCCAATCCAAAACCACCGGACCTGCCGCCCTACACTAAACCGATGAAATACACGCACAAAAAAATATAAAACGTAACGAATACACATTAAAACATAGGCAGGTACATGTAATTTTCTGAAGTCAGTCTAAATTGATTAAGTATTCGAGTAAGTACTGTGTCTGGGTTGACTTTGAACTATGAACTATATCGAATTCGATTCTAAAAACGTTTTAAAGGGTACTAAATATATAATATATGTAATATACATTATACGTAGGTACATATTATGGCAACTTAGTACCTACACAGTCTTAAAGTCATAACAATATGTTAATTCTAAAAAGAAATCTAATTATTCTGAAACGTACTACTGTTTTTGCTTTAAGCTCTACATTTTACAGTATCAAATGATAACATTTTTGAATTTGAAATCACTATCACTACAACGAACGTAGTCGTTGAGTCAGTTAGTCGCACAACAATTAATGGGTGAGGATGAGTGTGCCTGATCAGTGCAGTTTGTTTCGGGTGAGTAATTACGGGTCGTGACCTAACGCACTCCTATCAGGGATCTAGAACACGGGAATCAGCGTAGTTACGTGTACGGATGCATAATGATATATTTTATTTATTTTCTTTTATTAATTAGGTACTAATTTTTGCTCGCAGCTGAGCTCGCGTTATAGGTAAAAATAGATGTACTGATAAAATGTAGTGAAATAGTGACCGAATATATGTATAATCTTACTTTTTTTTCTTTTCTTTAGTGGCTTAGAGTGGTGTTCACATACACCAACACAGCTTAAACTTAAATTGGATCGGCGAATAAAGCCTATAATTATAAGAAACTCACCATTAATGATTCACTTAAAAACTTGGGCAGTATTAGACTATAGTAGTACCTACTTATTATTCATTGTATAATGAATGATGAATAATTCTTCAAATATCTTTAATAAAATAAATCTATTCTAAGAAAATAAAACATTTTTTCTGTCAATGATTGACACCCATTATTAATAGACGGCATATTAAGCGATGCCCAATGCCCTGACTCCGTGTTCGTTAACAGGACTTTTCCGCTAGAGCTGTCAGTCGTGTCATAACACTCCGCCCAAATCGACCCTCGAGTCTAATATTGTTTTGGACATATTTTATTAAAAGAGACGGAAAGGGTCTGAAATCAACATGTTTCCTCTTATCAATACTTACATACCTATATCAGTTTAAATTTTGATTAACACATATGTATAGCCAAAAAATATTAAAAAATTGTTGTTTACCTTCTTATAGTAGTTAATGTGTTGTATTTGTGATGATTCAGCATTATTTAATCGAATTAACTGATAATAAAAATAAAACAAAGCTCGCGTGTGCTCATTTAAAAAATAGTGTTGTACACTTAAGCTCATAATACTAAGTAAATTACCGTCTAATTAGCCAGCATCCTGTCTCGTGCCCTAATAATAACAAAACAATAGTTGCTCCCTTTGGAGTCATTAAAATTGTCGCTCCACTTAATTGTTGGAGCGATTTCGGAAACGCTCTCGGAAGTCCAATTGGGAGCGCAAGCGCACACCGGATGCAGGGCTGTGAAAGTGCGTCTATTGTTTATTTATTAATTATCATATTTTATATATAATACTTATTTTAACGATTCTTACGAGTAGAATCTGCCAAAAAAATGTATTGAAATAACATTAGCTACCTATTTAGGTGTTGATACTACGAATATGTATAATGCAACATTTAAGAATTTGGCCTAGAACAAATTTTGTAATAATTTATATAATAATATAAAATGTTATAGTTTATTGGCTCATAAAACAAATTAATAATACTATGTTCATATTTAATAATATTACACAGTTTTATTTTTCAATTTTTGCTTTACCTACTTGACATATAGATAAGAATTGTATATAAAGTTTTTTAACAAAGTAATCGTGATTTACGCATAAATACTAAAAGTAGATGACCTTTTAACTTGGGATTTTTACAAGCAAATTGTAGCACCTACTATTTTGATAACAACCGTTTGCAAATTTATTACTTTTATATTGATAATAGCTATTACGTTGGCGCCAGTGGATAAGATGATGTTTCTATATTCTAATTTCATACGTTACTGACCTTAGATAAACTTAAAGATACTTTATGTAATAACCTATATTTATTTTATAGCACGAGGCGATCATCTCTTGGTGCTTTAAGAAACGCGTGTCTACGAGTACTATGTATACCATCTGCCAATATACCTAAATATGTATGTGTTTATATGTTTCAGAATTCAGAATTCGGTTAAAGATTATTATTTAATTTAAAATAAAATGTTAAACAGAATAATATTTCAACATGATGAATATTTAAAAGGGTTGAAAATATGTGAGCAGGTCACGCGCTAGCCCACGCCAAACGCTTGGTTCTGGCAATTGGATAATGTTAGGGCAAATTGGGACCCACCGGTTTGTTTCCCGTTGGCAGCTCTTCGCGCTCTCGAGTGCTCTCTGTGCTCTAGTATCCTCGCTGGCCTCTATCAGTCGATCACGTTATATCGTTAGCCACTTTAGCTGTACTTAAAGACAAAAAAGCAACATAATAATAATACTTAGCAACTTTTCAAGATTTTCTGTGACCTACTTAGAAATCATACTGAAAAAATTCAACTCTTCGTGAACCGTTTATCTTTTCGTTTTTCGTCGTAGATTAAAAATGTATTCAATGTGCGTAAAGGTATATAAAAGTAATCGTATAAATGGCTATAATCTCGCTATTGCCATTTACAACTGGAGGACTTATCACAACGACAATTGACGATGCTTAGTGTCGAGTTGGGAATTATTCTATTTTTATGCATGCAGCCGTTGAGAGAGCAATAAATGGACAATAAATCAAAACACTCCATGGTTGAGTGCACTCGCAACAATTTCGCTCGGCGGATGAGCGGTTTTACGGGGCGGGGGTGTGGGGGGTGCAGGGACGAGGGGACGTGCGGATAGACGCTGAATGGGCGCATACGCGGCTCGGCGGGGAACGCTCCGCCTAATGAGGAAATAAGAATTAGCGGGCGACGAAGCTGAATGCACTTAGTTCTTTGTCAACATAGCCAGTGACAAAATTTTTCATTAATTCCACTATGTATGCACTTACATAATTCATTGTTTAGATGTTATTTTTTCTATAGGCAGTGGTAGCTCAGTAGTAACGCGTTTGCATGGAAAACCGAGTGAAGCGCGTTCAAACCCCGGGTCTCGCACCTCTGATATTGTTATGTGCGTATCATTTCCAACATGATTATTACTTGTATTACGGCGAAGGAAAACATTGTGAGGAAACCTGCATGTCTGAAAGAAATGTCAGCGTGGTCGACATGTCCCGATCCCCTTCGTATTGAAGGGAGGTCCGTGGACAGCGGTGGGACGTTAAAAAGAGTTAAATACACATACATATATGTTATTTTTTTAATATCCTGTCTTTATTACATAATATTTCATATTTAAAATTAAATTGGTGATCTTCATATAAAAGCTACTTATATTAAAATCTATATTTTAGGTTAGTATGGAATAGATAGACTATATATATATATATATATATATATATATATATATATATATATAGGTATAAAATAAACAGTTCTGAGGTTTTCGATTTTCCAGCTGTTTTTTTGGGTTTTCCCTATTTTTTATACTTAAAACACCCCTGACAAACCCCAAACAACAAAAACAAACAAACAAAAAAAGAATTATTCAAATCGGTTCAGCTATTTTCGAGTTTTAGCGAGAAATAATGAACAGCAAGAAGCCAGAG